TTCACACACCTACTAAAACATTTAACACATTCACTAACAACATTCAACACACCTACTAACAACATTCAACACACCTACTAACAACATTCAACACACCTACTAACAACATTTAACACACCTACTAACAACATTCAACACACCTACTAACAACATTCAACACACCTACTAACAACATTCAACACACCTACTAACAACATTTAACACATTCACTAACAACATTTAAACACATTCATACACATGCTTTTCCAAAATCAACTGATCTGATTTTTGAACGTGAAGCAAACACACTGTGTCAGTTCGTAACAAATACACATATTCATATTGTTATGTTGGTGATAGGGAAGAATATTTAAAAATAAATAAATAAATTAATTAATTATTATCAAAGAAACCAGGCAAAAAATAATTTAAAATATTATTTTAAAAAACTTATTTCTGAAGCAAGTGAAAAATATTAATTTGAAATTAATATTTATCAGATAAGAATTCAGAACATACAGCTCGCATTTAACACGTAGAGTACATACAAGAAATTACATAACCACATCATATTTACATTTATTTATTTGATTAGAATTACTTGTTTTAAATAATAGTCATTTGTTTAATAAAAAAAAAATATCAAAATGGGTGAATCGTTTCGTGTGTGACTCCTTGCAATTTAACAATAATTCCTGTTATAGTTATCTTTTATAATAATAATTCAACACAAGTAAGTCCCCAGACTAAATTGTGTTAATGTAACAATCAACTAACATTCGTCTGTATATTGATTATGTAAGGCTGGATGCAATAACAAACTAAGGGAGTAAGCTAGTTCCCATAACAAATAAATTGATGAACATTTCGATGTAACCTAAAATAATTTTGTAACAATTTTGAACAATACAGTATGGAGAACATTATGTTATATAATAACTATTCAACTAACATTAATAAAAAATAAAATATAGTGAAGTACAAAAGGCACCATCATATGGTAGATTGTTCTGATTATTATCAGTTTATTGGCACTCCTTGCCAAACAGAAATACAGAAAAAAACAAATCGAAAATCCTAATGAAAACTCAGAAGAAAAAAAATTATTGAACCTGGATAGAAAATGAATACACGCTTCTCAATAACAACACGCACACTCACGCGCACGCACACACAAAAACTACACACACCACACACACACCGCACACACCACACACATACACCACACACACAAACATAAGTACGTACAGAATAAATCATCAAACAAACGTTCGTACAATGTCTTCATCATGCATCACCGCGCACATACTGACACAAATAACAAATTTAAAATCTATAGGTCAAAACTATTACAATTAAATATTAAAACGCGATGATGAAAAAATAAATAAATAAACATTGCTATCCTTTTTTAAATAATATGTGTACATAGATAAATTTACAACGAATCATCCGACAATCCATAAATGTATATTGCAAATGCAAAAATAATTAATGAGATACAAAGATGCGAAATAAACAAAAATTAAAATAACCAAATGTTCTCTCCAGTTAAAAATTCAAGGAAACCATCAACTGCTCATTTGAAACTGTTCATAGAGACAGCATTTATCACGGCAGTCGTCTCTTACTCTATTTGTAAAATAAAATTCGAGGCGATCCTTGTGGCAGACTCCTGAGGTCAACTGAATGTTATGCTCTGCTCTCATCCGTTTGTCGTGCGCAAACACAAATGTTGGACTAATATCATTTGATATTTCGCCATGAATTATTCCGAACAACAAAATCAGATTGGCCCTTTGACGTCTGTACGCGAGAGATGGCAATTTCAGTTTCCTCAGTTATCCATCATATAGAAGATCTCTACAAGAAGCCACTATTTGAGTTGCTCTTCTTTGCATTTTCTCCAATTCCTTTACCAATCCAACTCTATAAGGAAACCATACTTGGACACCATACTCAACATGTGATCTTACTAAAGGTTTGTGCAAGATCACGAAGGCTTCTTCTGATAGGCCTTTAAAATTTCTTGCAACCACACCAAGCATTGTACTCGCTCTGTGTACTACATTTATCCCGTGGTTTCTGAAATTCAACCTGTCGTCAATTAAGTAACATTCCAAGATCTGACACCTCTGGCAGACGAAATGACGATCCATCACCTTCCAAAATTGTGAACGCAAAACGTGACTTTTTGGGAGTCGTTTTCAACAATTGACATTTGTTTGGTTTTATTTTTAGCATAAAAAAATTAAACCAACTCACAATTTTATTAATATCTTGTAAATATGTTTATGTTCTTTTATTTAAATATGTTTATTTTCTTTTTTTTTAAATATCATTTAATTATTATAATTAATAATAATAATAAAATAATAATAATAATAACTTTAAAATTTGTTCAAACTTTGAAAATTTAAAATAGGTATTTATATAATCCTGCTGCCGACAAGATGTTTTTCCACACAGCATGAAAAAATAAAATATTCAAAATAGTAACGAAAATATTCAAACCAAAGTAGTAAAGAAAAACTTGTTAAAAATATTTCTATCAAATAATAAATGCCTGAAAAGCCAGCAAAATACTATTTTTCTTTCCAAATGTGAAAAATAATGGAAATAATGGATGTTTGTGGGCATAAGTGTACGTTCGGATTAACAGATCCATATTGGCATTCCCACACCTGGCATGTACGAGATCACCATTCTGCATACTTGCTGGATGTGATAGAGTTTAATTAATTCATGAGGGTTCATAAAGTGGGACGTAGAATTTCTCATGAGATTTTCACACCAGTGTTTCTTTCGTTTGTCGTGTTTTTGTTTTTGCAATCAAAAGACTGAATAATTGGAGGGAACTGTTGTTTTTTTATGCCACCAATTGGTTCAGAAACTGCGCTCTCTACGAATGCATTTTCCTTGTTTGACATTTAAATGATTTTATAACGTATAACAATTGACTTTGGAGAAAATGGAACGTTAAAATTGCCCGTTGTCATTCAAAAATTTCGTTTGCTTTCAAATGATATCCTTCTCTTCCATCCTTCCTCCTTTTAAAGGTCCGGCAACTTGTTGCTGTGGTAACAATGACGTCACTGTAGCCAAAAAAATAATTATTTACTTTGTTTGTTCAGTTTAATTATTTTAACATTAAAGTCACTTAATTCAAGAAGAATACAAGAATGTTCAGAGGTTTCTTTTTCAATGAACTTGTATTTATTAGTCGTATGTGTTTCTTTTTAGACATTTAAATGATTCTTAAATACGTCGAGTGGCGTGATGGCTCAATGGTTAAAGTGGCCTGGTTTTGCTATTGCAATGACTGGGTTCGAATAAAAAAAGATTCCTGCATCTATCATATGCAATGTGCATGAAGCGGGGTTTGTACGCGATTCATATACGCTGTGTGTGTTTGTCGTTGAAACCTCTGAAGCAAATGCAAGAGAGAGAGTATAACCTTTAACCTTTATGACGAAATTCAGTTATTTACGAGCAAAAATTTGTTTATTTACGTTATTACAAAATTGGCTGTAGATTTGATTATCTTGAAAAAGTTGACAACCTTTTTTAAACTGTGAATAATTTTTAGATATTTATGTTGTTTATTATGATTTAATTCTGCAGAAAAGTTAGACCGTTAAAACATTAAACTGAAAGAGGAAGTACTTTTGAAGGAACGTAAGATTCCAGACATTTCTCGGCTAGATTTTTAAAGCCTCATATGTCGCAACTTACTTTGCGTAATTTTGATGTAATCGTTTTTTAATGTGTCAACAAAATTGATTACTTCGCAGAGATTTGTTCAATAATTTACAGCCTGTTGAAATTTCATCCAACAAGTGTAGTAAGTATATATCGTTACATCTTTAAATATGGGCTGCTGTTGCAGGAGTAGGTAAATAGTATTTTGAAATTCAATGAAATTTTTTTTGATTCGTCTAGGTAAGCATGAAATATATAAAAATAAATATTTAATACGTGTTAAAACTACTTTTATAAATATTTTTATCATGACAAAATTTAAACATTCAAGCACTAAAAAAAAATAATTTTTTCATAAATCTCAATTAATCTTTTGTTATTTTATACCAAGATGTTTGAAGGAAGTCTTGTTAAGAACTTATTTATTTAAAATGATCTTTTTTGGACAGATAGTTTTAACAAGCGAAAATCACTTAAAATTTCAAAGTGCAATTTTTAGACAATAAATATTGAATATTTTTTTGAAAACTTTTTCAAATTATTGCTATGAGGGAAGCCATTCCAATTTCACGATTAATTATCTACTCATGTAAAATATAAAATCGTCAACTAATTAAATTTCAATCAAACATTTTGTGTATTTTAAAATGATAAAACATTTAATGAGTGATGTGATACATTTTCATTAATGAACGCTAACAAAATGCCAAAATTTATAATTTAAAATAAATATTTTTCAGTGCAATTCAAATAAATAAAAATAATATGGTACAATTCTTTCATTAAATTGTTGTCCTTAGGTTATACTTCTAGCTAGTTTATTCATTAATATAGTCATTCGTGATAATAAGATTTACACCAAACAAAAATTGAATTGAAATATAAGAACGATTTAACACAGCATCACAAAAAGAAAAAAGTTTGATAAAGAAAGAAGATTAACAGCATAAAATTGTGAGCTGTTAAAAAATGGTAGTCACGTGACTTTAAAATATTGTTCCGTCAGTTATGCTGTATTTTATCAATCAGAAAATTGATAATAATTAACTGTCACCAAAATTCTCAAAAAACCTCAAAATCACGAACAACATTCGCACTCCAAAGCTTCAAACAGTCTTGGTGGGCCTTCCGAAAAGTTACTGACGCCGCGTATTTCTTTCAATTTCAACAAGAACGATTATTTATTTTTCAATGATTGATGTTCATGTGTGAGTGTGTATGTTTGTGTGTGAGAGTGTGTAATAAAATTACAATAAACGAAGATTTTTTTTATGTTACTAGTAACGTTACTGATAGCGATGACGATGATGATGATGAAAATAGTGATAATGATGCTGGTGTTGATGATGATGATGATAATCTTTAACGTGACCAGCGAAGAAAACTAAAACGAATTTTTCTGACTTTTACATTCATTCATCCTGTTTATTTTTATTTCTCCCCATCACTCTGCTTCTCATGTTTCGTACTTACTGCCTAGAGGAAAACATTTGTTTGCCAGCTAAGGTGGTTGCCTAGTTCAACTCTCGCGTGTTCTACATAGCATCAACACAGCTTCCCACTCAAGTTACTGTAGTAGTTGACATTGGTTCATTTAATTATAGAATGAATTCATTTAAAAATTATGAACAATCAGTGAAAATATCGTTCATTTTTTTGTTTATGGTTTTATATCCTTTTGTTGGAATTGGAAAATAGTAAATAATATTTACTATTATATTTGTAGTCTTGCAACTATTGCTATTTAATAGTGCTGCTTTTGACAAGAAATCTGACAGTCAGTTACGCTGTTTTTGGCAAACATTACCTGATATTATATCACCATTGCAAATGATGCGACCATCATCACAACAACATATCATCACGGTCACAAACACAAACGACATCACCATCATCACAGCATGAGAACTAATGCAACCTACACAACTCATCGGTTTCTTCAAATTCCTTCCAATCACCAAGGCAGCTCTTAATTGCCCTCCTGATATTTCTAATTGAATTGATTGTTCTCAACGACATTATGTTGCTCAACCAGCTACCAAGCAAGAAACTTTTTCAAATGCTACAACACATTCTTAAAGGTTTCCAAAAATAAATTTGCGAAATTTTAATGTCAAAAATTCATCATTAACATTAACTTTTTCCAACACAAAACTTCTATTTTTAACAAATTATCCCAAAGAATTGGCGTGAACAATTAAGGTTAACAATTTTAGTTTTATGAATAGAATTAAGTTTTGAAATTTTTTGTCATATTTATAATAGACACAAACATTTACTCGGTGATCGCTAATTCAACATTATTCTTCATTGAGCCTAATTGAAAATAACTACAACGACCATTTTTAGAGATTTTGAACGATTCAAATTATTTTGAACAAAACTGTCATAACTGAAAGTTGGAACATGTTGATTTTATTGGAACAACAAAAACGTCTCAATTGCATTGAATGATGTTTGGCAAAGTTAAAATGTTGCTAACAGCCAGTGATTGAATGTTGGAAAGATTTGAACGACATGAAGTTCTGACACCGACGATTTAACACGGACGATGGATGGATGGATGTATGGATGGATGGATGGATAAATGGATGGATGGATGGATGAATGGATAGATGGATGGATTGCAGTCTACGTGTTAATTTATTTTACAGCGACTATCAAATTTTTTGAGGATGATTAATGACAGAGTTCATAAGAGTCTTCAACTTTCCTTTCTCTTTCGAAATTTGGTTCAACTAAATTATGCATACATATCTGACGTCAGATGTGATCAATTGTTCATGCTTCAGATAGTTAATTTATATAAAATTTAAGCCTACAGAAATTTTATTGAAAACTATTAGAAATTACTCGAACAAATTTGCAGCACGCATATTTTGAAATTTTAATTTTTACTACCGTTTTTCAATCTTTTTTTTAAGCCATAAATTCTAACTTCGAGTATAAATGATATTTTTTTTCATATTTCAACATCAGCACTAAATATGGCAAGTCATTTTGAACTTCTGTGGAGACTGTTCATGTGTTTTTAATCATTTAATCATCATCGTAATCACTATTATGATTCCAACAACATCCACGTCATCATCATCAATATCGTACCATCATCAACATAAGTTTTCTTAAATACCTACCACAGCACACGTTCGCACACACTCACACATTCGCACACACTCACACAGACAATCTTATTAATTTTTAATTTTTCAATATTTTCTCGTTACATTTACATACAACAATCAAGTTTCAAAAGACTTGCATAGTTTAATTTCGTATATAAAACAATTTTTACGGTTGGATATCTTCATGTGACAATTATTTTCTTAAAAATTTTGAATTCGAATAGATTAAAAATAATGATTTGTTCTTATAAATATGTGGATAACATTATGAATAACTTTATAATTTGAATCGAATTCGATATATTTAAGCAAACAAATTTATTGTTCATCGTTAAGTTTTCCAGAATTTTCATTAATAGTTAATTTCTTCAAATTTCAATTACAAAAATATTTTTGGAGTACAAATAAATTCGCAAGAAGTTTTAAATTTGAAAAAAAAGAAAAAAAGTAATCAAGGCATTAAATCAGTATGAAATGAATCCACAGACAAGGGCGCACTTTGTAAAAATGTAGAAACAAAACAAAATCTTATTTTTGGACAGTTCAAAAAACATAAAAATTTAATGATGTTTCAACAAAATTTTGTGTTTCTCCTTCTTTACCGTACAAGTTTTTCATGATTGTTTTTAAACTGTCTATTTCAGTTTTAGTAAAAATATAGCAGAATTTTTTTTGGTCTCAAAAAATGGAGGTCCTGTTTGCTGGTATTCGAATTAGTTTTGCTTTTCCGGGTTCCTCCTCTTTCAAACTTTCGTCATTAGAATCTTGCTTCCAATCCAATTGTGCCGAATATCTGAGGTCTGTAGAAAGTAGTCATTAAAACGACGCCTCATCGTTTCTATTCTGCCTGCAGAGACGTTTTATTCAGCGTATCCCTAAAGGAATATTTTTTGATCATGAAACAGTGATGAGGTTTTACTGGAGAAACAAACAAAAACGACTTGAATTTTTTAAAACCATCCTAAAAAAACTATTAATTATTATAGTCAAATTAGACACCGTTGAAAAAAATAGCGTAGAAAGTAGTGCATTTTCTTTTATCATCTTATTCATATCTCTGTATACCGTTCAATAATCATCAGCATTATATTGTTATAACCGCTATTGTCAATTGAGTGTAAATCATAGAATCTTTTCATACTATAGAGGCTATATAAGGGGCAGGGACAGTGAAGTCAAGTAGCAAGGTTTGAAGAGAAGTCGTAAATGTGATTTATGTAGTTGCTTGAATTAGCTTGGTGTTTTTATTGTTGTTGGCATTCAAATAAACGTTCAACTAAGTTTGCGTTTGAAGCAGTTGTGTTCATCTACCAAAAATCTTGAACCTACGGAATAACGATAACTTGACGATCGTTGGAACACTGGCATTGGAAATATAGAAATCTTTGAAATTATAACATTTCTGTTAGTAGTAACAAGTGTTTAAAAAATTACAACATTGGCGTCAGAAGTAAGATTTTCGAAAGATGGAAATTTGTTTCTATGTCGGCACAAGAAAAACTCAATACAACTAATTTGATGAAGAAACTACAAAAACGTAACCTCTGCTCAAAAAGAGCGAAGGCAGTTTTGATAAACCGCCTAAGGGTTGCTCGAATAAACAAAGGTAACAAACCTGATGAGTTTGACTTTCTGTATTTTATGGAAGAACTGAAACAACAGTATGCCAATGTTGTAAAAGTGTTGTAAATATTCGAGATGTTTTAAGTGGTAAAAACATTAAAACTTTTGAAATGCAGTGGGCCTACCATTTGAATTTTTCTGCCAACATCTCGTCTGTTTTCATTGATAACAACGACAACAGTAACAAAAATTGCACAGTCAAATTAAGACAAAGGATACTAATAATTTTCCGTATATCAACAGCAGAAGGTGCCATACATACATTTATTCAAAAAACTAATCCAAGAAATCTCAAAATTAAATCGAAAACAAAAAATTTGATCTGATGAAACATAACTTAAAATTTCAACTAAACAACAACAAGACAAACAAACAACAACACTAACAAAAACAACACGTGACATCTCTTTCCACCAGCCAGCCAGTCCGCCAATCCATTGTCATCCTTCATCCAGCAGTCTTGAGACCCATTCAAACATTCGCTTTAATTCGGTCATGCTTTCTATACAGAAGGCAGGCCTGTGAAATATTCAGTTTTATTTTTGTAGCTTCTTATTTAAACAACTGAGAATGTTTTAGGATTAGGACTAATGTATTATCAATAAAAATTAATTGAAGCCTCTGAGGGGATATACACTTCGCATGCTTATTTTTGCTTTGTTTTAACATTTTGTAAAAACAAATTTTCGTTTCACTAATTCGCTTATTTTGACTGAATCCCACGCATTTATTCAAGCTCCATCAAGTGTTAAATTTAATTTTGTATCGTCAGTACAAAATTTAAGTACCAAAAAAAATAATAGTAGGTGCATTTGAAATGCTAGCAATGTTGTGGTTTCTCAACACCGTAACATCCAGCCATTTGAAATCTTCTAACGCAGTAACATAATCAAATTTGATTTGTATCACAATTACATTTGGTGTGACCTCAGAAGTCTATGTATGTATATATATATATACGTAAGACCTCAGAAGTCTTCATGTTTTTGCGCTTTCGTGTTGTTTTTAAGTCTTCCGTTTTTATGTTTTTCGCTGGTATGTTTTAACACATCGTGCATTCTGTGCCTCTTATTTTGTTATTTTCATTCAATAAAATAATATTATTATGACACATAAATCATCGTCTACTATCTGTCATAAAAAATAAATGAGCCGCAAATCTCGGTCAACTTTTTAAAAAATACTAAATTGTTTTTCATGCATGAATTCGCAAAACATCAAACAGTTTAAAAATAAGATGATTATTGAAATATAGTTTTATAAATTAATGACCTGTTTTTATTAATGTTTATACAATTGTATGAAAGATTCTTAAGCAAATGAATCTCTTTCTACTCGCTGGCACCTGCGTCTGATCCATTCATCAACGATAACTCCATCAGACAGAACATCACTGCACTTCCAGCTCCATTTATTCCTCCGAACATTCACCTGGCAGCAAGGGCATCGTCAACATCTGCTCAGGATTCAAACTAATCAACCAAACAGCTGTATAACTTGGATGTGTGATGTTTATAATACATGTAACTTATTTTTCTTTTTCTTTTTTTCCATATTTCCACATTTCTATTTATTTTTAAAAATTTTAGTTACAAGCTTATATTACTTTTTTTAATAAATAAAATAAATGAGATTATTTACAGTTTATTTTTCCTCATTATAGTTGATTAAAAATATTAGGGCAGTCGCATTTGTACAAAACTTAATTTTAAACAGTGTGCAATTGATGCCATGTTATACTTCGGAGATAGATCCAAATGATAATAATTCATTTCACAATTTGAAATGTCATTTCTTCTGCATGTTAATCATAAAAGAAAACAAATTGACCTGACTTTATAGAAACAAGACTTAGTTGTTCTGCTATTCATTATTTCTTAACCTTTGATTGTTCTCGCGCATCTATACAACGTAGTAGACTCTCACGTGTCCAAATTTTCAAACTGCCATTGAATTTTTTCCAGAAGTTTTTTAACCTACTGATTTATTTCTTGAGAGATTTTCCAATTTATTTCTGACTTTCTTGAAATGTTTAAAAAAATTTAATTTTTCATTGTGCAGACCCGTCTGTTCATTCGTTGCCATCTGCTAACGAAATAAGCGAGCATCTATGATATCCACATTAGCAGCAGGTATGTGTAACTTGCACTCTAAACATATTTAATCTTTTGTTACTCAGAGGGAGTATAAATATAAAGTCTATAAAAATACTTTCATTTGAAAGAAGTAGATTGATAAAGTTGTTTCGTTACGGTTGATGACAGTTTATTTACGATTTCAGTGGAACAACTTATGCCAACCAAACAGCCACTTTGTAAGCTACATTCATGCAATAATAAACTAAGTAAGACTGAGTATTTCACGCATAATTTTTTGATTTTAATTTAAATTGTTCATGTTGTTAATTATTCTTTCTGCTTCTTTAGTATCAATTTAGAATTCCTATTTTTTTCATCTTGGAGTTCTCAACTGATTTTCATTATCACGTTATGAACATACATTTGGAGTCACTTATAAACGATAAATTTTTTCTAACATGCACACATTTTATTTTTTTTTTACAAAAAATCTATTTATTAGAAAAATAAATCATTGAAACAAATCTTCAAACATAACAAAAATTTAAATTCTCATTACATCGGACAAACGGTTATTTTGTAGAATACAATGAAACCACATCATTTCATCCTTACAACCTGCCACAACCACAACACATGAACTACATCACAGAAAGAAAACACGACTATGCATTCACAAATCGGTACATCATGGAAAATATTTATTCCTGGACATCTTAAGTCATTTAAATTTTGAAATCAGTAATAAAATCATTTCAGATATATTAAAAACTTTTTTTTACCTTTGTATTTTCAACTCATTTATCAATATTTGTTATTTATAGTTTAAATACTTTTATCAATTACATCATTGTAAACAGCATGATAAAATTTGTTAGTGAATAAGTCATAAATATGAGAATAAAATAATTTTTGAATCGTTTTTTCCACGGCTTCACTTCCAGTTTCGGCATTTTTTGTCATCTTGCATCTTCTCAAAATCTTCTTTTATATCAATAACACGATAATCAACATATCCACTTTCCTTTCTTTCATCATCATCATCATCGTCGTCGTCATCATCATCATTGCCGCACCTCCACTTTATCCACTTCATCATTATCGCGGTCGGTTATCACTCTTTATTCAATTCTTCATCATCATCATCATCATCACCATCCTCCTCATACTCATCATCATCATCAGCGCATCAGAGGAATGCTTCCTATAAAACATCTCGCGACTCAACAGAGCCAAAAAAAATTGCAAGCAGTATCAGCCGACACAGTTGCGTGAATTTGTTGTCGTGTTGTCATCGCCATTCTTGTCTTCATCAACCTTTATTAATGCATATTACATATTCATTTATCTATATATTCATACAATACTATATTATATATTTACACATATATATATATATATATATACATATATATATATATATATATATATATATATATATATAATTACATTTTTTCGTTATTTCTTTAACAATGATTATTTCACAGTGTTTATAACTTAACAACGTCAGAAACAAATTTAAAATAACACTTGTAGGTTTTGACTTCGTTAATTTTTTAACCAATCCGAAAATGTTTCATTGTTGATGAACAGTTAAAAATTAAAATTATATTTAAACATATATAAAATTATAAATACTTTAAATAAAATTTAGTTGGCGACAAGTTACTGTATCGAAGTAATTGAATTTTGAATATTTGCACATAATTCTCATCCCGATAACACGAAACTGACAATGAAACTAAACGCAGAAGTTTGAGGTTAGCGAGGAAATTTTTTTTACAACTAAAATATTTTGGATATTTATTTCGTAATGAAATAGCTTATTGATCTAGCAAAAGTTTTTTTGACTAAATCAAATTAAATTAAATTTTTATTAACTTATTTACGATAACACGACGACATACTTCGTTTAAATTCCGTTTAAAAAGCTTCCTTTTTTTCATTTATTTTCTAATTTTTAGAAGAATTTAAAAAAAAAACATTACTTGCTGAATTAGATTTGTTTAATATGGAATCATTAACTACTTGGTTACTTATTTTACTTACTTCATTGAACATTTATGGCAAACTTGCCATTGATGTATGTATGCATGTTTCATCTTGTTGTTTCTACGATATTGCGTTTCATAAAAGTATTTTAGTTTATACACATGGTTCTTGTTGGTTTTTATATTTGGAATGACAAAAATTATCTGAACAAGCTTTCATTCATTTATTCTAAATTTAGAAAATACAAAAAATTGTGAAATAAGCCTTAAAGAAAATATAACAGGCGATTATTTTATCCACTATTCATCTAACAGGGAAGCCATTTTCAAACCTGCTGACGAAGATTAAAAACACATAAAAAAAGACGCACACGCGCAAGTTCTTTCACCGCATCATAATTATGATCATCACAGTCACCAATAATGAAATATTCCATTTAAAAAACATTTCGAAGTCTTAAAAGATGGGTTTATAATTATTTAATTATTTTTTAAAATATTTATATTTGGTTTGTCACGGAATTGCTTTTTTTTATAAGACAGACACAAAAAAATTTCTAGAAAATAATTTCGAGTGCATCCACGTTTGCTGATGAAAAATTTTAATCGGTTTGCCGACCTCTTACTTTCTGGCATATATATCAGAATATTTATCGAATCTGCATCTGAATATTTTATAATTGTAGTTTCAACGCTCTGTTACATACTATTTTATAATTCAATATTTCAGTTGATGGGATTATTTTTGGGATGGCACTCAATAGAGATACTAAAACAGAATTTTATTGCTCCGTGGAACCTCTTTTCGTTTAAAAAAATAGTTTTATTAAAACAACCACATGTGATTATATCTACATTTACAACAAAAAAACAGTCATAAAAATGTATAGGGCCACTGTTAAGTACATCTTGATAAAAATATTTGAAAAATAAAAAATGTCTCTTGTTTAAGGTTATAAAACAAAAAACAGCATTTCAATGCCTAAAGTGACCTGGGATTTGTATATGTCCACATTCCAACATTTTTGTTCAATCTTAACATTTTAATATTATAGAAATGAAATTGGAGCGTTCAAATTTCTCTCTCGTCACGTTGTTTTTAAAAAAATAAAGTTGTAGCTTTTGCTTAATACCAACGTGATTTATAATTATAACGCAATTTTATTGATTATTTTTTACGAGTGTCAAATATTTATCCAATCAAAAATAACAAAAATGTTTATACTTTTGAAGAATTATAGGGCCACTGTTGTCTTGTACAGCTTGACACAAATGTATAAAAAGAAAGTTATGTCTTTAAAAGTTTACATGCAGCCGCAGTTGTTACCAGCGGTGAACGTTTCGTCGTCAGCATGAGACGTTGTTGCTGCGACAGGAAGATCGGAAAATTTTTGGGAGTTTAATTTTTTGTCAGGTTCCATCAGAACTGCATTCATGTAAATATTTCTGAGGGACAGTGACGTCGAGCCAAACAAAACGAAAACCAAACAGCTCGTGACGTGACGTGACAGTTCGTGATTATGTGACCTCATCGAGTTTCAATTTTTAGATGTTCATTTTTATAAACTTTATCACTGAAAACAAGAAAAATAAAAAACTCTTACAAATGAGTTATTAAAACCTGAATGAAGAACAAAATAAAAAATATCTTGAATATATTACTAATTGATGAAATGTTGAAAATTCGTTTTGACATGTCTAACACCAACTAAAAGTATGTTTCGCCATCAAAACATAGTGGAACACCTCTAAAGTTTGAGCCCGCATATTCAAATAGACGCATGCAACATCAACGCTGCAGAAGGAATAGAGCAAGAGGAAGGAGAGCACCGCCGTTGACATTAATTAGTGGCCATCGGCACATGCCCTTCCAACTGCGAATATACGCTAACAAACTATTTTCCTTTAAGCTCCATTTTGTCTTTCTTTTCAACTTCAAATGATTTTTATTCACTTTGTTTTTGTTTTCTTTATACTCATCATTTATAAACTCACGATATTAATACATCATCATCATCATCTTCGTCACAGCCATCATTATCTTCAACATTGTCGTTGTCACCAAAATTTTAGCATCTATAAATTCTTTATAAAAATATAACGAGCACCAATGAAAATATATTAACTTTCATTAAAAACTGATAATTTAGTGATTATTTGATGAATTTTATTTACTTTTTTATGTTTTTTTTAGTTAAATAAAGTTTTATGCCCTAAAAATATTCAATTCTTCATTACAATAGAAACATTTATATACATCGAAATGTTAACTTTAATTCCATTGCAAGACAAATTTTCCAACTGTCAATTTCTTTAAAAATAAAATCTTTCCAACTAGGATTAAAGTAACTACAAATAGAACACGCGCGTCTTTCCAACGATGCTCCTAACGATTATATAATATTAGGGCGCTGCTTCAATTTCATTGCAGTAATGAAGCTCTCGTTCCGATGTTGTCAAGTATTTCAAGAGTTTCAATTAATTCAATTTTCAAGTGGAGCGCTTTCAATAGGAAGTTGTTTGTTACGTCAGTTTTGTTATTTGTTCGCGTGCTTGTTTCTCTCTTGATTTGTTAAACCGGTACTTATTATTATTTCAATATTATTGTTTTTTGTTTTGTGTTTTGCCAACTGTTAATTTTTTTAATTAAAACTGTTTTGTTAATTTTTTTTAAACACAAAAAATATTTCATTAATTTTTTTTTAACTGAGATACCTACAGGTATTATAAGTGGCACTTCAAAATCTAAAAGTACTTTTTTTGTGGCAGAGAGTGAAAAATATTTGTTTGCAAGACTTAAAATTTTAATTTGACCCGCAAGGAGATCTATTTGTTACTTGGTGTTTACTTGCCATGTTGAATCTATATAAATTGAAAAGGGCTGTTCACAAGTTAAGCTATATTGAAAAAAATTATGAAATTAAGAGCTCCATTTTTGAAAAAAAGAGGAACTACAGAGTTACGCATCTCCTCACACAGTAGCTTTCTTTTCGACGTCCTATGTACAATCGGCACGTACCTGTCCCATCTGTCTCGCGTTCAAATGATCGTTGTTTATATTTTTCTTCGTGTTCTGATATCTCAGCTCTGTTGTAGTTATACGTGATAGAGACGTAACTGAGATTTACTGATAGCGTTAAAATATCGACACCCAGTACAAACAGTTGATATGTCCTATTGATATAAAATAATATTTATTAGGAAAAAGATTTCCTATATAGTTCAGTCTATAAATAGTTTTTTTAATAGAAATAGTCAATACTTTTTGTAGAGTTAGCACACATTGCTTGCAAGATTCCTGCCTTTTATTCCTCCCTTTCCACGGTTCAATCGTCAATTTTATTTTATTGATTCTCTCTTTTTCCGCTGATTATTAAATATAAAAATACAAATGAATACTTCACATCTATTACACTCTTAGGTAAAATTTTCAAACGATTAATTTATCAGCCAAAATAAGAAATATAAATATTGCAAAGAATATCATTCAGAAAATACTTCGTATTGCGGATTAAAAATTTCAGTACCTCAGATGTATTTGTTTAAAGAAAAAAAAATGGAGGAGACTCAAGCAAACTCTGTGACGTGATAACCGAGATGCAAGTTGCAAATGCACTTCTTCACGTATGCCAATGCCTACTTTCAGCCTAGAAGTTAAACATTTTAAAAATGGTTAATGTTTTTAACTGAAAAAATTCTTCGCACATGAAACTTGTGAAAATTTACACAAAAATGAAAAATTTTTAAACATTTGCCGTAGGGTGAGGTTTAACTTAAAGTATCAGAAATTGGCAAAAAAGGCCTCGAATGACAAGAAGACAGATGAAAAGAAGGGAATGAAGAACTAAGTTTGAAACAAAAATATCTCGTTAACAGAAAAATAAAAATTAATGAAAAGTTTCATTGAATTTATTCTTAACGGGATGTCGTTAAAATTTGTTTAAAAATTCTCTCAAATGTTCAACGGTGACAAAATTATAACGTTTGAATGTGCTGAACTTTCATCAGCTTCAGAAAAACTTGTGTAGATGAATGTGGGAAGAAGGTAGGAAAGTTGTAGAATATCAATGTACGGTTTGTATTATTCTGTGGAAGTTTAATTGCGAAATTTTTTCACTTTTTTTTGATGGTGTGAAATTTATGAGTTGCCCACGCAAATATTTTTCCATCGTCAAAATGTAAAAATTTTGAAGAAAAATTTTTGAAAATGAAAATAACTCGAAAAATTTTCAAAATCCTTGCTTAATATTTTTTCGTGTAAAAAACTTTTTCACAAGTTTTCTGTTTCTCAAAATTTTAAACAACAATTCTGTTAGAAACTTTATTGTGTCTTCAAAATTATCTGCCCTGTACTTTCAACTATTTGATGTTCTGCTATGTTATTTTAATACGGCGATATATAAACATTCTATAAAAGTATTGTACAAGAATTTGAAAAAATAAAGTTGTAGTTTAGAAATTAAGAAAACATAATAAATAAATAAAATAATAAGTAAATAAAATAAGTTATATAAATTGTTTTATGTTGTAATATAATTTTTTATAATGTTTCTGCCAAAAGTATTCTTAAGCGTTATTACTTGAAAAAGGTTTCACAGGCAAAAAGATTTTTGTCAGCATGTTTAAAATAAATTATAAAAATTTTTCATTTATCTAAATTATAAAAATTTGTTATCTGAAATGATTTTTTCGTTTATATTAGTGTTGCCCCTTAATTAATTTTTTGGTTCATATGAAATTCAACATGATCAAAAACAAAGCAAATTTTATCTAATTTAAAAAAGTCAGTTGAATATATTTCATAGATGTTTTAATATGAAAGTGATTCAAAATGTTTTGTTTCAAGTTTATTTCAAGTTCTCCTATATCTTAAATACTGCGATTCAACAATTCACGTTTGAATGAATGCAAGTCGGTACAATATTTTAATGAGGAGAACAATTTGTTGAGCGTGCCAGTGAACATTATCTCGGCAGGTGTAGGCCTGCAAGGGGCCAGAAAAATTTGATCAACCAATGCTCTTGCAATGAAATAAGATATTTTAAGTGTAAGTAACCAAAAAATAAACCAACGAGAAATTGTTTTACGAAAACTTTTTAAAATATAAGTTGAAAATTAATAGCTTGGTATGTAGTATGTCTTTTTTTCATTTCTACTTGGCAATTTTTTGTCATTGGTAAATAATGTTTTTCAATATAATTAAAATGTTGTAAGTGTAGTGAATTTTATTTCAAGATATATCTCAAAATCTTTCAGTAGTTGTTGTGTTAAAAATAAGTAGCTGGTGACATGGCAGGATGATCTGGTTCAAAACCAACAAATGACAATCTACATGACCGTCCACACAATTCACACCATAATGGATCCTAGATGTCTTTTGTCATTGTACAGTTTGTAAAATCTTGAGTACGCTTAAGAACAGGATATATTAATATTAAAAAGTTTTCATTTACAATGGTGTAACGGTAGTGTCTGGCCCTGCTATTGCATCGACTGGATTCGCGCCTGTCACATGAAATGTGTGTGATACGTTGTTTCAACTTGAATTAACATCGTCTGTGTTGATGCGTCTGAAAAGTATTGTAACAAATAAATTAATTATTTTATAAATTAATGCTTACAACGCTATCCCGGTGGAATGTTAGATTGAAACCACATCGCTATTGTTTACAAAATTGTTTTTAAATTTAAGGAAGAGCCAATCCTTAATAATTTTGTCATTGTTTAAAAGTAAAATGATATGGGTTAAGGTATAGTTTTTTAAAGTTAAAATATTTTTAACAGATCAGTTGGTATTTTTAAACAATTCAAAATATTTTTTTTTATATTTTTTTTCCCAATCAAACTTATTATATCAACTTTATAAACAGCGTTAATACAAATTTACAAATCTCTTCATTTTACATTTTTATTTCACTTTCAAAGAATGACTTAACCATTCTTATTAGGCTCCTCCCCAAATTGAAAAGTCATTTTATAAACAATAGCCAAGCGGTACCGATCTAACATTCAACCAGTCAGCCATAATTTTTATTTCATTGTTTTATAGTCGACGTTGTCATTCAATCATCATGTCCCCACACTGAGTTATCAACATCGTTCTCATCATCATTAACATCATTACAGTTCGTCACCATCATAAACACGGCTACTACCAGTCATTTCAGCATCACTATATCCATGCGTGCTTATAATTACTTATAATCTGACTCTGACGATCCACTTCCATTTACCGACACTCGCACACACACAATATTGGAAGTATTGTTTATAATAACGATGATATAATAATGATAATGGTTATTATTATTATTATTAGTAGTAGTAGTAGTATTAGTAGTAGTAATGTTGTTGTTGTTATTTATATTATCATTGCTGTTTTAAACTGTTATCAAAACATGATATCAATCTACCTTGCGTAATGTCCGTAATAGTTCCGCAATTGAAAGACAAGAAATTCCAGTTGGATGAATGATATTGCTTTTTTTGTTGATGTTGATGTTGCAGTTGTTTGTTGATGTTCATTGTGCTGCCGATGTTTCAGCAATTCAACATATGATGTCGTTGTTTTGCTTTCTTCTGACCAGTTTCAATATTTTTTATTAATGGTTTGTTTTATGGTATTTTTGTTTGAAAGAAAACAACAAAAACGTTCAACTGTTTGTGAGCTTGGTAAATTATTGTTACTTTTATCCGAAGTTTTAAAAAATTAAGCTGAACAAACAAATTAAATTCATTAACGTTCATCTGGTCAAAAAGGATTGTAGGAAATATTTTTTCTCGAATCGAGTTGTTTGACTACGAAACGCATTGCCTAATGATATGTCCAATGCTCTGTCATTGAATATTTTTAAAACCAAAGTCGATTTATTTTATGGTGATAACAAGTATTCTATATCTTAATATTAATAATAAATAAATATAAATAATAATATTGGTCCTATGCGATTGAATTATTGACACGAACATAAACTTTAATTTTGTTGTTGATTTTTGGTGAAATCCGTGCTAATTTATTTTTTGTTTATTTAAGTTTTGGGCATTGAGCTCTGCTCAATCTTTCTTCTGATAATAATAATGATGATAATAAAAAAGATAATTTTGGTATGATAATTTATTAAGAAACGCACAATAACTGTTTGTTAACTTTTCATAAAACCCAACCCTCTCAGAAAATGTGCGCTTACGGAATTCATTCTAAACTAATTAAAAACATGGTTCATTCAAATTGCTCAATTGGCATGCAAAAATAATGAATTAAGGGCATGAAGTTTATTTTAAAGAATATTTATCACCAACAGGTTTTTTCAACCAGATATCTTATGTTATTATAAAATTTATACACAAACAATTTTGTTGATTTTGTTATACGTTATTATATTTCGCTATTTTTTTATTTTTTTCTTTCAATTTTTTAGTCTCTTTGAATGGTATTCACAATGATGCAACTTTAATTATAACTTTGTAAGAGTTTGGTCACAATTTAATTTATTATTTATAGTTGAAATTTTTATTCAAAATAATTGCACCACACCAAGGCAATTTTTATGAATTCATAAAAGAAGAGTGGCTGTCAAGGAAATGAATGATTTGATTGGTTGGTTGCACGTTCACTTTTCAATCTATCTTTCAAGATTCAAGAAATTTCAAGTCTAAATGTTGTAAGGAAGAAATTATCTTTCAGTCACGATGCCGTAGCGTATCGAGCATGTTGTGGAGCAATCATTCATGTAGCAATCATTCAAAATGTTGCACTTAGAACTTCAAATTGTTAACTTGAAAGAGTGATTTGCAGCGAAATTATTTTAAAATTTTGAGATTTGAAAAGTTATCCAAAATGTTTATAAAATGATTTCATCTTTCACTGTTGATTAACATAGTATATAAATCTTCAGATTTATTTGATAATGTTTTAGTTGTTTCGAAGATCACTAAAAGCCTTGTCGTAATGAAATATAATTCCCAAGATTGTAAGCATTTGTCGTTCTGACGGTGTCCATACACTTTTTTCTTTTCTGCTTCATTCAGCTTAAAATTTTTAAAATTAAAATCTTCTATTTAATTGAGTATTGGAAAATTATTATTAATTTTTTTAATTTTGAGTAAATATAATAAGATCAAAAATTTAAAAGAAACTTCTGAATGAAATTTATAAATTCAAATTCTTACATTGCTATCAAAGAAATTCAAATAGAAACAATTGAATAGAGGTCAAATTTGTGTTGCTATTTTTTGATTTTGTAATGAGAGATGAATTGAATTTTCATTTTATAAACAACCAAACAATAAATATGGTAAGTTCAGAAGTTCATTCATTCGCACGAGTATTTATCAGAAAATATAATTTGCATAATAAAAATATATGGAAAATCATGGGATGGTTAGAAATTTGACAAAAACCTTCTTGTTTAAATAAACCATTTCTTGCTGATTTGGTTTCAAAATTAAAATGTAACATGTACGTTTCAATGAGCAAACACTGCATGTTCCAATATCATCATTCTTACCTTCAAACATACAAACTGCTTCACATCATCGGCAAAATTTTAATTCTTCTTCATTCTCTTATTGTTTAAACCAAACACAGTACCTTAAACAATATTGGCGATCGTCCAAACATCTCGCATGCTGACATCCATGCATGCACTTTTATACCACAAGAAATGTTAGGGATGCATGGATGCACTTGCTTAACATGTAACAAAGTTGATGGTGCATGCATGCACAAACAATGATAATGATGCATGCATGCATTTGCAAATTGATGATGGATGCATGCACTTTCATGCGCAAGGTGTCGAGATTTGCAACATGGGTGCCTCCATACATGAGACATGCAACATGATGCAGTGAGTGAATGCATGAGCAGTTGCAACCAGCCATGTCTTGAGTTGAGATATAGTTCATCGAGCAGACGCAAAACCACAATACTTGTATATACTCAATATATGAAATTCATTATGGTAAAAAGAATGTTTAGAGATAGATTTAAAAATTTCAAAAATATAATTAATTAAGATTAAATTTTATTTGAAAAAATGGTAAAATGTCTTATGACTTGTTGTGAATTTTGTTGTTATGAATTATTAAATCCTGATCTGTTATAAGTTCCAACAATTATTCAACTCAGCGTGAACCCCACCAATGACGGGGTCACACGTTACTTGTACAAGAGCTCGTTTTTTGCTTGTTGAAACTTTCAAATGTTTGGGGCGGGCAAGCATATTCATCACGTCGTCCATGTGAAAAACGAAATAAAATGTTATTTAAAAAATATTTCAAAGTAAACTTTTTTTACAGCTATTATTTTACGTACGCTCTGGCTAATGGAAATTAGCAGAATAAAATCCAACATATTCAATTTTTTTTAAAACGAGGAAATTTCTAAAATGTTTTCAAATTATTTTTCATTAACACAACGAAGAAGAACACTGATGAATTTCATAATAATCACATTTGGAAGGCTCAAAAATACATTCAATTTATTTGAATTTATAAATATCACTGCAAGAAACATCATTTCAACGACCATCTTGAACGTATAAGATGTCTAAAGTAATTTGCGTCTTCATGTTCTGCACAAAATTCAACTTTTGGTAAACATTTCAAACTGCTGTCAAATGGTGAACAAGATTCGTTCGGATTTTTCAATGGTCAAACATCTGCTTTCATTATCATTAGTTTCATAACTACTACAATTACCATCATTATTCTCATCATCATAATCATTATCATCAAGTCACATATTTCAAAACAAAACGATTTTATCATTATCAAAACATTTTGTTCGTCACGCACAAACTATAACAAGTAGGAAACTCAACAAACCACCCAACCGATGAAGGTTTGATAACATTTATCCGCATGAATGTTCGAATTTGCATTTTGAATTGTTCGCATTTCTCAATTTTATTCCTCAGTTGTATTCGACACTTTCTCTACGAGGTCTGCTTGCGGGAGAGTTTGTTTAGATTGTTTGTGTGAGTTTTTTTTTGTTCTTCGCGTGTTGTATGTCTGTGTATGTTCGTGTGTATTTGTTTGTCTGTCTGTGTATTTGTTTGTCTGTGTGTGTGTATTTGTTTGTCTGTGTATGTGTATTTGTTTGTCTGTGTATGTGTATTTGTTTTTCTGTGTATGTGCATGTGTATTTGTTTGTTTGTGTATGTGTATTTGTTTGTCTGTGTATGTGTATTTGTTTGTCTGTGTATGTGCGTGCAATCTCTACCGATAGTTCGTTGGCACAATTATTGCCCTCTGAGCAGCCCTTTCTCCACACACAAAAATTGTTATATTTACTTTGTCTCGTTGTGGTGCACATGTTGCAAATATTTCTTGTGAAGATTATTTTAAAAATTTGTTTGCGGGGTTCTTTTTAATTTGGGTTCACTGCTTCTTAGTTCGGCGTCATTTGCGTGTCTTGCAGAATTAGCAGCGAACGGGCCGGTCACGTGTTGGAGTGCGTTCTTTGTAGAAATCACTTTTGAAATTTTTTTATTTAATCTTCATTCGCCATTCCTAATTACTTCTAACCACGCTCTAAAAATGTTCACCAAACAGATAGCGTGAAATTATTTTGCAGCCGATGATCCTATAATTATTTCATAATATGATTTTTAACTACGTACGAACTAAGTTCAGTTGCAAGTCGCTATTGGAATATTTCCACAGAAATAAAACCATATCGACAACAATAATGATTTATACTTTTTTATTTTAGTTTTTTTTAAATTGTGAAAATGTTGACAGAACTAACTTAAAAAATTTAAATGAATAAGACGAATCACATTTCGTAGTTTCCATGATTGCCATTTCAACCTTTTGTAACCAACGTCCCCGTCATCATCGTCATCGTCTTTGTCGTCGTCATCATCTTCATCATCATCCTCATCGTCAACTAACACTATTATTATTAATATCATCATCATCATTCTTATTAATTGTTATTTTTAAGTTACACTGCTTTTGTTATTGTTATTGCTATTATTATCATTATTATTGTGCAAAAAATAAAAATGAAAATAAAGCTACGAGGTAGCCTAAAGCTTAATTCAAATGACGAAATGAAATATCTATAAAATTTCTATGAAATATCTATGCCTCGGAAATTAGACGATGGTCTAAAGCAGTAGGAAGAGCATCAGAGATCCAATTTAGATTTGCAATAAAATACTTGATACAACAACCACCAACAAACTTAAATTTGGTTAAATGTGGAAAGTCAACAAACGAGCAATGCCCTAATACAACAAGGCAATGCAAAACAAACGAATAAGCATGTAGCGTCGAACTGCAGTTCAACCGTAGCATTGGGTAGATACTTTGGAGAGACATAAGAAAGATCTCAATCTAATTGTTGGCAACTTAAAATCTTGCGCGAAGTCTGATTCAATCATATAGCGGATCTTGTTAATGACTCACGGCCAGTATCGCATTTAGTTTCTCCGGCCAGACATTGCCATAGTCAGCAACGATACGATAGAGATTCTCGAATTGACGGATTGCCACGAAACAAACTTCACCAAATCTAAACTCTGCAAGGAAGAAAAATATAAAAACTGTTGCCTTTTATGTTTTATTTTAAAACATTATGATATACATCTATTTTTTTGGCTAAATGTTCTTTGCTTTGTATGTAACTTCACTTTTCCTTTTTTTTTTGTTGTTCCGGCTGATAATAAACTAGTCAAAAACGTTTCTAAGTTTATTTTCTTCTTTTAATGTCTTTCAATATTATATCAATATCAATTAATTGAACGATCTACGTGACAAAATTTAACAAAAACAACCTTAAAAATGATATGTCGGAACATTTTAAAAACTTTAACTTTTTAATTAGAACATTTGAAATAAGTCCAACCAATAGGTTTTATTTTATTTTATAAAACTTTTTATACTCTAATTAATGTATCTTGGTCAGACGATTTTAAAGATAATTTGTTAAACTACGTAATTGAGTCGTCGTATGCAATATACTGTGACAGGAACAAAACTTGAACAACTTTTATGTCATTTTTTCATCATCGTACTCTTATGAGCATGGTGAATATTGTAAAGGTAAGCAGTTATTATATAATATATGTGTATATATTTATAAATTTGATTTAAGTTTTTGAGTTTCAATGAAAGAAGTTTCCATAATAGAAAAATTATCAACGTTATTTCCATCCCTTAGCAACTTTTTACATTAAATGGATTCTTTATTTTTAAATTATTTATTTATTTATTTTTGATCAATTATTCAACATTTGTTTAATTACCAACACATTTCACTGTTCAGTTCACTGCAGATACAAAAATATATCTATTAATTTCAATTAATTTATCAAGTTTCACCTGTACTAACAATTATCTCCAACTTTTCATTTACTCACTCATTTATTCTGTGGTTCATTCATTCATTCATTCATTCATTCATTCATTCATTCATTCATTCATTCATTCATTCATTCATTCATTCATTCATTCATTCATTCATTCATTCATTCATTCATTCATTCATTCATTCCTTCATTCATTCATTCCTTCATTCATTCATTTATTCATTTATTCATTCATTCATTCATTCATTCATTCATTCATTCATTCATTCATTCATTCATTCATTCATTCATTCATTCATTCATTCATTCATTCATTCATTCATTCATTCATTCATTCATTCATTCATTCATTCATTCATTCATTCATTCATTCATTCATTAATCGTTTATCTGTCTGTTCAATTTTTTATTCATTCACCTATACATTTTTTTAATTATTCATCCATCCATTTATCCATCCATCTATTCACACACATATGAACTGTTACGCTTTGGAGCTGGAAGTTGCATGTTGTCCAGCGGTCGGCACACCAGACACGATGCAGATGAGTGACCAACGGACATCTACTTCATCATTGCATGTAAACAAGTTTGTGCAACTTCTAATACATCATCTCACCAGCAACACATCATCGTTACATGCCTACTTGTACATATCTTCATCATCCTCTCATCATATTTCAACGGGCCTGATATCATCACGACATCATCACAAGAACATAACTTGAAAGCATTAACATTTTAATGATCGTCCTATCATATAAAGAGATACATTTTCAATGTTACGAACTGAATATGCTGAGTTAATAGCATACAATAAGATGCTACGTTGTTTGAACTATATATACATACATGAATGAACAACAACCACAACACGTATAAAACATTTTGAAGTACATGTGCACAATGCAAGCAAGCTTCATTTACATTGAAATGTAACGTGGTTCATTCGAACGTGCCGTGAAATGAACCATGAAACAAATAAACTTTGCGTGATTTATAATAGAGTATCACAGAGTATCACAAATATAAATCAATTTTCAACAAAAAATGTTTTATTAATGAACACAAATCTTTTACTTATAAAAATAAATAAAACTTTTATAACCTGTTCAATCTTTTTATGCAATATTAATTTTTATTTGCGTTTAAATGCGTTTAGAAATGTTTCAATATGCACGCACATTATTTCTATGAAAGAAAGAAATGTTTAGAAGGTCAAAGTTGGGTTGAATATTTTATTGTTTCTAATTTGTTTCACTTGAGAAGATCAGGTGGTCCTGCTGCTTTGTGAACGTCTTCAGATATCCCCAACGCAACAAAACACAAACAACAACAACTACGCATCCCCTTCATACATTCACAACTGCAGATGAAAAATTTCACAAAAATATCAAAAATAATTTCTGCAGCAACAACTATTGCCTTTTTAATAACGAAATGTCTTCAGTGTAAGCATTCATTTATGGAGATTATTGACTTTTGGTGATTGTGATTTATTTTCACCTCAAAAACACCAACCTGACGGCCAGCCACCGACCGCCACCACACAATCACAACACTCAAATGCACGAAGAAACATGAAGACATAAAAACGAGAAATATGGAAAGCATTAGCAGTTATCAGAAAATACGTAACAATGGAAAGTATTAACAGTTATCAGAGTCGTGGGTATCGTAAATATTGAACCACCATGCCAGATAAGTTTCAATCGTTTGTTTCAATCATTAGGGATTATGTTTGTGCACACACACTCTCACACACACACACACTCACACAGAAACACACACCACACATACGCGCTCATTCTTATTGCATACCCGTGTTCATAAGATGATAGATTTTCTACAAAAGCAGACAATATTAATTTCGTAATACTCATACACACTTTCTGCACCGCACATACTGCGCGCCGCTTTTGTCGTGCCTAAACAAAACATTTGCTTTGATGTTTGTACTAGAATCACACTGTAATTTTCAATTTATAAAAATTTGCAACCTTAAATTAATTAGTGTCAGTTTCGATTATCGAATTAAAAAGTAAATTAATTAGTTATGTCTTTGTGGATGACTTTGAAAAATGGAGTGTCGTTAATAGTAATGCTTTGCAATTCAACATACAATACAACACAATACACCCGTTCTTTTATTATTTGTTCATCTAAATTGGATAAGTTCTCGAGCAGCATCCAATTTTTAATTAAACGTGATAGTGGTAATTTAATTACTATCATTGCTCTAATTTATTATAATTTATTAAATATAATTGTCAACCTGTGTTAAATTTTTAAAGTTGTTGTTAATGTTCAACAGATTGGTCAGCCATTGATTTAAATTATGTTTCTTAATATGTTCTGTGTAGAATTAATTATTGAAACAACAGTAACGTTGTTATCAAGAGCACATGTGCTTACACAACAACAGCACCTCACACAACAACAGAACCTCACACGATAACTGCTTCATAAGCATATATAAACATATATTCATAGGGCAAATATGTATGATAGGGCATGGAATCTTACAATAATAACTACTGGAACGATAACATGTTTGTGAGCATTACATCTGAAGGCGAATGTTTGGAGCATGGTATATGCATTGATAGCTATAGTTTTTAGATATTTTTATTGAAGAGTAACGTATTATATTCATTTTAGATTGTAAAACAATAAGTAAAGCATTTAAATATTTTATTTTGAACACAATTTATCAATTTTATGTTTTTATGGAACAGTTAATATTGTCTTCAAATGATTTCACATAATTTTTCATTGAACAATTGAAAAATTGTTTAGCAATCTGCTCGTTAATATTATGATTGTTCACACAATAACTAGAATATTTATACAAAATTTCATCTAAATCACCATAAATAGATCTTTCTGCAATTTAAACAAATAAATTAACATGATTTTTACAATTTAAAAATTTGTTTAAAATGTTTTTTTTCTTTTATTTCTTCAAATATTTTCCATCAGTGCACACTGTATACATAGCATGGTGTGCTGGGTCTTGTCAATCCAGCCCTGTTTATAAAATCCAGGAATGATGAAGGAGCTTCTGTTAATGGTAAAAGGATCACATCATTTTCTACGAGCATTTCTTTGCAATTGCTGCATTTGTTTATGTTACTAATAGATCAAGCTATTGCTCCACTCACATAAAAAATAATTATCTTGTCATCATTTGAAGGAGATGCATCCATCTGAAGCATTGTCGTGATCTCATCTGCCAAACAGTTATCCATAGAAAAATCATAAGGATTTTTGACTAATTTAAATTCCTCTAAAGACAACTGCAAATACTTGAAGAAGGAGATGGCACAAATTTTTCTGTGATTTTCCAGTACTTGTCTCATTGACAAGTAATAGTTAGCTTCAGACAGTTGCCTGAACCATCCAAATCTTGACTCTAAGTCATCAGATTGCAACCTTTTCAAAAGTAACAACATTAATAATAAATTCGTTAGGTAACGATTGCTCTTGCAATAATTTTTTTATATCATTTATTCCCAACTCACTAATATCATCATCCATTAGAAAACTTTTCTCCAATTTTATTAGAGAATTATTGTGTTTGTCTTTTTTCACTGGAGGCATTTCCACTTCTTGGTTTGCTAACATTTGAATTGTTCAAGTACGACGAAACATCTTGAAAAATTGATGGAATAGCATCATCTTTCAATCGCGTTTTTAATAAAACTTTATTTGCTATTTTTATTACGAGTGACGTTTTTGTTGTGACTTTAGTTGATGAAATCATCGGGTTTGAAAGGCAATGAACACATTCGCGAATTGGCTGTAGGGTGTGCCCAATTCTTGGATTTGCTTTTATCCATTTCTGCAACATATCGGCGTTGTGCAATTGGAAAACGATGTAACGTGACGTTCTCCGAACAAATATTGTCGTAACCTAATTAGGAAATTAGAGAATGATCAAAATTTAGAAATTTAAAAAAATTAATATTTATATTACAAATGGTAAATATAACTAAACAATAAATAACTACTTAAATAATATTTATAACAAATAAATTAATTTTAATTGAACTGAATAAATAAACAATAGTTGGTCCGATATCATTAACCTGTTTTGCAGTTCATCGCACAACATTTATTAACCATTTTGTAAATTAATTTTAAAAATAATGTAATTATAAAAATATTTCAAGTTATATTTTAACATTACGAACACGCTTTCAAGAATATTAAAGAAAACAAGAACTTTATGTACGAGAAACACAATGGCGACCGTAACTAAATGAAGTTCACGAGAGGCGGGCCGTGTACATCGTATTGTAATGTACAGTCTTCACCTGAAAGCTGACAGAAAATATTAGGCGATGTTAACTTTCTAGTAGTTATTATTGTAGGATTCCATTGGTAGGGCCGTAGAAGCAGTAAATAAGAGAACAACAATATCTAAGGTTATTCGATTGGGTTTTTTCAATGATATTTACGTAGCTTATTATTGTTATAAATTTGCTGGGGATGTTTGCAACTGAGAATCGTAGAGTTCGTATATCCGATAAGAATCAACTCGAACGATAAATTGTCCAAGACGAATTTATTAAAGAAGCCGAACTATCAACAAATAATTACAAAATGAGTTATTTTATAATCGCACACTTGTTAACGAACGAACTCAATTTATAAAACACACGCACTTCAACTCGTACTTGCCACACTTTGTAACTTTCTGTAAACACACATCACATCGTTTCGTATGTCGTCCTATTTATCCAGCCTTCTTTTTGCAATGCATAGACATTTTACAATACGGCGTACCATAGATAATTATTGTTATACTTTTTGGGCACTGTATTTATAACATTACTCCCTCCTTCCCGAACAGATTTAGTTTTACCGTCGGCTTGAAAGGGGCCATCCGGTTCAGATGTACGATCTTCATTTTGATCTAAGGCTTACCTCGTTCTCGTACCTGATACGCCATGTCGTCGATCTAGGTGGCAACCTGGCACGACTTTTTCCAACCCTTCAACTCATTTTTTGCATGCCTTCGATTCATAAATAGTTGAAGGTCATCAATTTGTGCGCTCTGTTCTTCAGCCTACTCATCCTTTAATTTTGAGTCGTTTTTTGGTTCTTCAATTTCATCTCGCAGTTCTTTCAGTTCAACTCGACTTTTATTTTTGAACTTTGCTAACAATATGGTGAAATTACCTTGGGGCTGTTGCTCCTTTTCTTCCGTCTTTACTTGGCACTCTTTGAGCATCTGCTTCACTCTTATGTCATTCTTATCTTCCTGTTCTTTAATCTCGTCTGTATGCTCCTGTTTCGGTATTTCAATTCCTTTATGTTCCTGTTGACAACTTTGACCTTCACCCTTGGGAATATTTCTTCGTGTTGCCCGCCAAACTTTCCGTCGTTTGAATCATTTGATCATGTGAGTTCCTTCAACTCGTTATCTTCGTTTGTCAATCTGCCGGTTGCTTCCCAATCGTCATCAGGATTGATGTAATCTGTATCATTGTTTCATCGTCTTCCTCTTCGTCAACGTGATGACTACCTTTCTGTACGTCAGCACGTGCATCATGGTTGTCACGTGCTTCGCCGTTGTCACGTGCTTCGCAGACACCACGTATATCACAGTTTACACGTGCTTCGCTGATATCACGCGCATCACAAATACCACGTGCTTCGCTGATATCACGTGCATCACAAATACCACGTGCTTCGCAGTTTTTATCTGCGGTCCCGATATCACGTGCGTCGCTGTCGACATCATCCGTAGGTGGATTTGCCGATATACTAATTGGTGACTCTAACCGTTTCTGGTATGGTTTTTTCGTTAGAAGATATTCCCTCATAGACCGATCGTGTTATATCATTGGCCGCATGATCATGAGTTATTTTATAATCGTACACTTGTAAACAAACGAATTCAATTTATAAAACACACGCACTTCAACTCGTACTTGTCACACTTCGTAACTTTCTGTAAACACATCTCATCGTTTCGTATGTCGTCCTATTTATACGGCCTTTTTTGCAACGCATAGACATTTTACAATACGGCGTACCATAGATAATTATTGTCATAAATATGGGGCGTTGTATTTATAACATTATTTTTATATAATTTTCCAAAAAAATATTTTTATTAAGCGCACCGCCTCACTCAATTACCAAAATTCTCAACAACAATAACAAACAGTGATAACAAGCAACGATAACCAGCAAGGATAGGTTTGGTTTGTTGAATAAAAGTACTGCGAAAACTAATTTTTGCAACATTTGTGCCAATATTTATTTATTTTTATTGTCACGAATTATGCCATCAAAAATCTGCCGGTGATGAGGAATTCCAATTTGAATCTGAATAACCATTTGTACAATCTGTGTAAACATTTGTACAATCTGCATAAACATCCGTAAAATCTGCATAAACATATGAACAATTTGTATAAACATCTGTAGAATCTGTAAAATCATCTGTACAACCGGTGTAAACATCTGTGCAATCTGTAAAAACATGTGTACAGTCTGTAAGAACATCTGTAAAATCTGTGTAGACATCTGTACAATCGGTGTAAATATTCGTACAATCTGTATAAACAGCTGTAGAATCTGTAAAAACATCTTTAGAATTTGTATAAACACCTGTAGAATCGGTGTAAACATCTGTACGATCTGTATCAACATCTGTACAGTTGTTGTAAACAACTGGACAATCTGTATAAACATCTGTACAATATGTAAAACCATCTGCAAAGTCTGGATAAACATCTGAACAATCGGTATAAATATTTGTACAATCGGTGTAAAAATCTTTACAATTGGTGTAAAGACATGTGCAATCTGCATAAGCGTATATAAAATCGGTGTAAACATTTGTACAATCTGTGTAAACATTTGTACAATTTGTATAAACAACTGTACAATCTGTATAACCATCTGTACAATCTGTGTAAACATTTGTACAATCTGTATAAACATCTGCACAATCTGTATAACCATTTCTACAATTTGTATAACCATCTGTACAATCTGCATGAACATCTGTACAATTTGGATGAATATCTGTACTATCTGAGTGAACATCTGTACAATCTGTCTAAGCGTCATTTTAATTTGTATAAGTATTGCTGTAACTTGCAATTTTATCAAGTTATCAATATTCCGTAGGTTGTTGAAAAATAAACACCAGTGTTTCAAACACGAACTTATTTGCACGTCAATTCAAATACCAAAAGTAACAGAAGCACTGAATTACTTATTGAGTAAATACGCTCGATGTCGCACGATGATCAATTATGCATAAAAATTTAACATTTCAACTTTCAACTTTGCTACTAATTGCTTATATATTGTAAAACGGTGTCAAATCAGATTTTACGGTTTTACAATATAACAAAGATAAAAAATAACCAAGATAATTATAATTACTTGTAATTTATTTCAATAAATAAAATTTATTTATTTACAAAACTAAATTTTACAATTAATTAATTATTCAATAATTATTCAATAATTCAATTTATTTATTATTCCAGCGGATATAACTTTACCAATAGATTTAGAATACCTATGCATGCCCTCGAAGGAGTCCGCGCACATTTCCAGTGCGCTTTAGAACCTGGCCTCATTCTTTATTATTATTATTATTATTATTATTATTATTATTAACGGGGTTTAAAGTGGTTCAGAAGATTATAGTCTGTGTAAGAACCACTACTTCATAAAATTTCCAAAAACAAATATTCTTCCCACTTACCGAATTTTACAATTTTCACATTTTTATATTTTATAAATAATTATTTATTCATTTTTTGAAAATTTTTAATTTTTTTTAATTAATAATTACTTTTTAATTAATTTATTTCATTCAATTGCATAATATTTATACGTATTTAGTATCTTTTTTATTGTGTACATCAAGCCAAGGGAATTTTAGAACGCCGTGCTTGACAGGCATCCTCCTCAACTTACTCCCACCTCAGCCTGTTAATCTATTATATTAAAAATTAAAACTGTGAAAATTAGTGACAATGTAATTTCTAAATTATTGAATTATTTTTTCACAAAACAATAATCAATTAATTAATTATTCAATGATCAACGTTAATGTTCACAAATTATCAAATTAACGTTCAGAAACTATCGCTTTCCGAATACCAATTCATTAACTTTTATCGCAAATACTATAAAAATGCAACGCTCTCAGATATCAAATATCGCTTTCGATACCAACAACCAATCGCTTTCTAATATCAAATATTCAACAGCCACCATTCAATATCTGGCATGTCTTTAAATGCCCGTTCTACCGACGCTTCTCGAACGTCGTAGATATCTCGCTGTCAGGAGGTTCTAGTTTTTTTTTTTTTTTTTTTTTTTAATTCCATTTATTCACAAAAAAAGTGAAAGAGTCAGCCTAGCAATAAATGCTTATCTAGGTTGACTCCCATAAACAAGAAATAACATTGTAAGTACTCAAAAAAATCAAACAAAAACACAACATAAATGAATAAAATAAATGTCTTTTAAATTTTTCAATGTTCTTAAATTTTCATGAATAAACTTAAAAATAAAACGTTGATACATTTAAACTTAAAAAATGAATAAAATTAAAAATAAAATATTAATACATTTAACTTAAACAATTTAAAAATGTTCTCAACTTCTTTTTAAATTCTGTTAGATTTTTAATTAATCTTAAATATTGTGGCAGATTATTCCATTTATAAGGTGCATAATAACAAAAGTTCCTGGATGTTATTTTATTTAAATTCATTAATGGCTTAATTATATTAGTATTGTTAGTTCTGTCAATGCTGGGTTAGCTATAAATTTAATCGTATTAATTAACATTATATCAGTTGTAGATGTTATATTGTTGATTATTTTAAATGATAATAAAGATGATTTATAGGAATTTATTTCAAAAATTTATAAGATATTATTATTATTAACTATATTGTAATCGGAGTGATAATAATCGATTTTAAATAGAAAATTAATTTTTTTTGTGTGCGCTAAATAATTTGTTAAGTGTTGAAATGTTTGTATTACCCCATATTAGGTTACCATAGTAAAAATGACTAAAAATTAATGATTGGTAAAGTAGTCTTTTAGTATTATTATTTAAAAATTTTTTAATTCTTATCATTATGCCAAAAATTATATTAATTTTTGTTAGAACTAGTTCGATATGATCATTAAAGTTAAGTTTATTGTCGATGCATACACCCAGAAGTTTAAAGCTATCAACTATTGTTATGCTCTGTTCATTATTTTCCTCGTTGTTCAATTTTAAAGTTATGTTATGCATAGGTGTATTTCTTTTATTTGGAACAATCATGAATTTTGTTTTTTTTTTAAGTTGACAGAGAGTTTATTTAATTTAGACCACTTTTCAATTTCAGAGAGAAATGTTTCAGTTTTGTGAATTAAATCGGGTATGTTATATGAATTTGTGCACATGTAGTTCCTCTTTTAACTCTGCGTTCGCAGCGATAGTGACACAAGCGTCTCTAGCGAATATATTTGTGACGGTTATAACAATATTAGTAATAATAAACCGCTACAATTGTGTTCTAAAATCCAGATGATGGTGGAGCATGCACAATATGGTTATATTGCTCGCTCTTCACCATTCTACGACGGTTACCGAGCGAACAGCATAGTTTGTTCTTGGGGAAGTTCTTTCTGTTTCTGTAAACTCGCTCCCTCAACGTTAAATAACTCGAAATTTTTTGTGTACATAAAATAATAATAGATGAATTTTATTGGCAACTTAAGTGTGTTTGGGATTTTATAAAGTTTAATAATCAAAATCGAACGAGAAACGACTCACGCAATATCGATAATCTTATTTTTATTATTATAATTGTAATTAAACATATTTTATATAACAAAATATCAAAAGGTAAGCTGAGAATTAAAATGTAAAAGGTAAAATAATGCATAGATTGTCGAAAAGTGTTTAAGTGTGTCAAAAGGATAACTTTCTTTAACTTATGTGCTCGCCTATTATATAATAGGAGATCTTGCTCCCTAGAGCTTAACTAGTTGTCTAACTCTTTCTAACCAATCAGTCCCCAATGTATTTCACTTCGTTTTTATTATATAAAATATTATGTATTTTAATTAATTATACGTTAAATTATCTTATATTAAGCTTCTTTATGTCTGTAAATTTGCATATAACTTTTATAACATAACTATCATTATAATTACTTAACTATTTTAACATATGTCTATATATAACCTACATTTACTTATACCTCTCAACCTAAATTATCATCTACATGTTATATATCCGTGCTGTAGTTCACAGTGTGCTTTGTACTACGTGATATAACCACTGCAAAGAAATATCAGTAATGTAAACAAAAAAACTTTCATTGAAGTATAAAAAAAACTTATAAAAAAAACTTTCATTGAAGTAAACAAGGAAGGACTCATAGGACTATCAAAAAATATATTCATGACATGCTTGAAAATTTTTCATGAATTGAAGCGGTCTGAAGACTTCACAAAAAGTTTCTAGTTTCATCCAATCAAAAACATCCATTTTGTTGCATTGTTGATTCGTTTGTCGTTGATAATTTTATTGTTATTAAAAATAATTATCGCATTAGAAACTATGACTGACATAAAACGTATGATTTTTGAACAATTTTTAATTTCTTGCCAATAAAACTCGCTAAAAGTATAAATGAAAATATTAATTCAAATCTGAATAAAAAAATAAAACTAAAAAAAATATGTTAACTATTTTTTACTTTTTTTCATTTGTTTTTTAAATATCACTATTAAATGTTCTCGTCTTATTAATACATTGCAGGTATGTCGTAAAATTGGTCTAAGTCCGGCAACGCGCAAATATCACCTTACTTTCCAGTTGTACTATCGGGGCTTTCGCGCCTAAAAAGAATAGACTTGCAATCGTTAATATAATTGTAGGTAGCTGAATAAGCTAATGAAATGATGTTCGGATTTCGAACAGCTGTTGCTAGTATGGTTAATTACATTGGTTAAGTTTGCCGTTAAATTTTGTTTCTGTGTTGTTCACAAACTTGTTTAAACGTTTATCAACATATGCCAACAGTAACAAAAACACTAAAGTATTTACTAATCTTAGAAATACGCTCGCTATCGCACGATCGCTAATGATTCAAATCGAAACCACATAAATTCACAACTTCAACCTCGCTACTAACCTCTCTACTAATCTTGCTTCAATTTTTTCTTTTGTGGTCTTACTGTTTCAAACATTTGCAATAAACTCAATTTTCGCTGCATTGGTTGCAGGCGGTGAGCTAGAAAATCTTCTGACAATGAAAAAGTTTATGTACTTTTTATAAATGACAATATATCTATTCCAAAAATATCCTAGGCATGCCACATCTTATTTTTATCCTTTATCGAAAAGCTTGTGGCATGTTGATGTTTCATATCGTTTCAAAGATTCAATTTTCTTTCAAGGTATAACAAAAATTCAGCATATTAAACTTTTGTTTGTGTGTTTTAAAAAAAAAATCTAAATATGTTTAATGAATTTATTAAACTGATCGCCATAAAACCTTTCAAGGAGTTCTTCGGAACTCAGGATTAAGATTATGACACATGTAGTGGTGGCTGATTTGATGGCTTGCAACCACAATGAATTGAATATTAGACAATTAACTATGATGATAAAAACTTCGATTATTAATCTTTATTAAAAATTTTTCTGTTTACATCTTGCATTATTATTTAACTCTTCTTTAAGTTATTGTTATAAATGAAATGTACGAAAAATCAGTTTTTGGGTTTTGTAATGAAATATCGTCCTAAAAATATTGATCGGAGTTTCTGTAGCTAAAAATACAGCATGAAAATGAAAATAAATAAATAAACATTCATAGCAACACATGCAAGCTGCTAACAAGTAGGTATGTTAAATAATTAAATTCAAATAAGATAGTATAAGATAGTCATTCACAAGTTTGCACACAATTGTCGCATGCTGTTTTGTCACGTGCAAAAAAATGTGAAGAGGAATGTTTTTGAGATCTTCAATAATTTTTTTTGCATTTAAAAATATTTTTCTTTTGGTGCATGCATCCTAAACATTACGTATGTGTATGTGCGTGTGTGTGTGTGGTGTGTTTTCATACTTTCTAAAAAAAATTGTTTTGTGTCACGAAATTCTCTGCACATTTTTGTCGGACAATATTTTTTTTTCTTTTTAATATCTCACCCAGTGTTGGTTTTGGTTGCATTGTCATGGGTGGAATGGCGTGCGGCGGTGTCTAATTTTTGCAATATACTGCGTGTTTCACAAAGTTCAACGTTCTATTGCTATAGGGAAAATGTTCGCTTGTTTGTTGTTTCGCTCAAATGCATTTTCTAAGAAGTTTGAAAAAAGTTTATTAAATTCACTTTGTGCATCTCACGACGTGAATAAAGTCTAACTTTGAAACAGAACATTTCTTGCATCCATTTTTATAGAATTAAAATTAAATATATTCATGAAACTAAAAAATAAATTATTTCAGAAACAAAATCATAAAAGTTAATAAAATTTATTTCAATTTCCAAAATATAACGTAAATAAATTTGATTCTAGATCCGGTAAAACACATTTTTAATTAAAAAATAACTAACAAGCGAGAGTTAATTAGTAATTACACCATACGTCATATTCAATTGCTTCATGAATATAATGGATACCAATCATTTTACGTTAACAACACTAGATTGCGTCAGTTTTAACTCGTTTGAAAAAATTAATCCGACTGGTTTAGCTCTGATCTAAAGATCGTGGTTTTGTATTTAAAAATAAACATTTGTTAGGAATTTATCAGCTCGTAAAGAAAGGAATCATACATTAGAGCCCATGTGTAAGTTGTAGGTGTCTGACACCAATCAACCATTTTGTACATGAAGAAATTTTAAAATTTTTATGTCTCATTTTTATGCCTTGCCAGCAAACTTAAACTCAGTAATTCCCGAATGTGCTTTCAAAATTTATCTTTTAATTGGATTTCGGTTATGGTTAAAATCACCTTAAGATATATAATAATTTTGAGCTAAAATTTGCTAGTTTTATAAAAATATCAAAATGTTTGAATGTTATATTGAAAACTTATGCGCAGTTACTCCGTTCGAACGCTGCATAAGTGGACGTCATCCACGTTGTATGTTTCGTTGGTTTCCATCTTAAGTAAGCGATGTAATGTTTGCACGCACACGAGATGACAGGCATGTCTTGAGGTGTTGCTGTGTTGTCCGCTTGCGACAAAGAAGCAAAAAAAATTGATGAGGAAAAATACACACGCAACATCCTTCGTCGGCTCGCTTATTAACTTAATTATTACGTAAGTTTTATAAATGCAGTTACTGATTTGGGATTTTAAAATCGTTTGTCAGTTGATAATTTTTGTATTTGTCAAAATAGTTCGATTTATTTGATGATCTTTTAAAAGATACTAAAAATTAAGGAACCCAGATTTATTTTTTGTTATTTTTACAGAATTGCGTGACTTTTATTAGAAATTTAATTATTTTATTAAAATGATTTTTATAATAAGAGTTTTAAAGTCATCCAAGTTATATTTTCAGGTTTTATTTTTCAGGCATATATAGATCCATAAATTTTTTATATAACAAACTTATTTTGCTGCAGATTTGAAGAACATATTATTTTTATTTAATTGCTATACTTATCATCTTCATTTCTATCCTCATATTATCACTATCGATGTATAACTTGGTCACAACCTTCTTCATTGAAAACTTTCAACTTATTTTCTAGGTATCACTGATTTGATTGCAATTATATTGCAAGCAGGGCTTCGGAGCAAGTACTTTTTTGAGTTGCTCCGTTCCAGCTCCGCTCCAGCTTAAAAAATTTTGCTACGCTCCGCTCTTTACTTCGAGGTGGGAGTCAGTTAACAAAAAAAAGTTTTTTATTGTTTTATTGGTACAGTTAAACTGATGAACGGAAGCCGTTGCCATGAAAGACTCCTAACAATTTTTTTAAAGATGAATTTTTTGAATTTAATTGTAAAATAATAAACTTCATAAATAATTATTTTTTATTTTTCAATCTAATATTTCGGATAATAATTTTTATTATCGGAGCATGGAGCACTCAAAATAAATGTGCCCCGGCTTCGCTCACGCTCCGACTAAAATATCGTTGCTCCGATTGCCCTGCTCTAGCTCCGTTTCAAAACTCTGACTGCAAGGTCTTTTTCACTGCACATTAACAAATAACTTAGTTATTTTTACGTTGTTGTTTACAAATCAACACATGCTATCAATACACGCTGACCATTCGCTTGTGCCACCCAGTCCAAAGTTAATGCAGTTCATCATAATTTTCTGAAAACATTCGTTTGTGAATTGGTTCACAGGAAAAATGAATTAGAATTTTATAAAATCTATTCACATTTATTTGTGTGGTGTCCTTGGGTGTGTATGTGTGTCTGTGTGTGTAAAACTGTGTGTGTGCGTGTGTATGTGTATGTGTGTGTGTGTGTGTGTACATAGGCAACATTTAATTACCAGTAGACATTTACGTGTTGTTTTATTGAGAGGCATAAAAGTAGTTGTTGAATGTGATGTCTACAATGCAGCAGTTTATTGTTAGCATGCTGAACGATGACGATATGAAGATTTGACTGTCGACACGATGGAAACTATCAGGATGTCGTCGTCCTCAATTTTTTATGTTGCTTTTAATTGTTTTCGTAATAAACTTGCAGTCAGTCATCACAGTTATAAAATTTAGCTTCAGAAATGCAACATTTACCCTTGCACGTCAGCGCAATATAGATATCACATTGTTCTACGGACAACCGGGCAAAATGAATGTTACCCTTTTCAAAAGGTACCTTTTGAAAATTTAATACAAATCTATAAAATGAAAATTTAATAGCTAATTGATGACGATGACAATGAAAATGAAAAATGGAGCCAACTTCAAAGAGTATAACAACCGTTCCGGTAATATATTATTTTTTCTTAAAATCTTTGGGAAAAAATAACTGCAAACGTTTTGTCTTGACCCCATTTTTTAAAAGTTGCAAACTCCCTCCAGAAACAAAAAAGAATATTTGCCGAAACAAATCCAATAATAATATTAAGGATAATTTTGGAAATGAAAATGTTGATTTTATGAATTTCAATTAAATAATTAAAAAAAAAAGTTTTGCAACAAACTCATTTCAATTTAAAGCAATTTTTAATTTTTAATAAAACATTTTTATTATAAAATATATACATTTAAAAATTAAAGCGGATGAATGCTTAAAATAGAAATCCTTGTTCGTCGAATATTCATTTTATTATATCCTAATTTTTAAAAACTTTTGAAACTTTTTAAAGAGTACAAGATACTAAAACTTTTTATTAAATTACTAAAGCTAAATGTGTCAATAAAATTGAAACTTGTTTTCACATGTTTTACTAGTTTGAAAAAACTCTTTGCCATGATTTTATCAAGGATTGAAGAATAAATATTTCATTTTTGGTCACAAGAATAGAAACATATCCAAACTTTCAGCTGTGCGTCCTGTTAAATTTTGCATGCAACTACGTCGTGACATGCAGTTGAAACCGCATGTTCAGTTGGTTTTAGTTTTACTTCTCTTACTACCCTTTATAGCTTAGTAGTAAAATATTTTCAAATTTTTTCACTTAAAATCCCAAACAAAAATTTTCACCTATTTAGTTTTCTTCAAAATAAAAACATATAAAAATTAGAAAAATAATGTTTTGATAGTGAATCCTGGAGTTTATACTTAAATTAGTAATTAATTTTATAAATTGTATTATTAACTCACCAACAATTGTCACAAAAAATGTTTACAACTTTAAAAAAAATCAATTTAATTTGGTGAATTACAGCATTTTTATATTTCTGAGACAAACAATAGAAACAAATTTGGATAAACTGCAGCAGCGTAAGTAAAAAAAAAACATTGCCATGTTTATGGCTGCTTACAGGAAAGGGGATTTATTTGATACGCTGGAACAATAAGTTGGTGGTCGCCAGGGAACATCTTCAAGAAAGGTTCGATACGTTTAAAAATTAGATAGCTTATAAGGCAACTTCAACTTTATTGTTAGTATTGAACCCATTAGGCAAGTTTCATTTGGAACTTTCTCTTTTTCAAAAAAATTTCAATTTAGAAATTTTTGTAAATGTTAACCGACAAGAAAATTAAGTTAGAAACTATTGTCCAACGCATAAATTGCTTCGTTAAATGTTTTATTTTTATTTTATTTACAAACGGAAATCATTTGTTACAACCAGGTTTTATGTCAGAAAATGAAACCCAAATGTTGTAAAAAAAAGACTAAACTTGTCAATTAAACAAAATGAAGTCAAAATAAATTTCTTTAAGATTTTTATTGTTATTTTTCCAAAACAAACTGAGAATAAATGCCATGTTCTTACTATATATAATTATATATAACGAAATAAATATATAATTTGCTAATGGGATATTTATAACCTAAATCTAGTACATATTTATTTTAAATTACAATCAAGAAATCTAACTGATAAAAATTCGCGATACGTCCTTAAAAATTTTTTCAACTTTTGATGGACTGTGAAGTTTAAATAATTTTTTTCTACTGCGTAACATTTACTCTCCTACAGTGAAAACATTTGAAGCATAGACTCATTCTCATTGAACATTGATTTATTAACGACAATAGAAGCCAGAGTTGAAACCGGAGTGGGAGTCTGAAATCATCCAAGGTTTTATAGAGGTCGGTGTCGAAAATTTCAGAAACCGCAGAGAGTAGAGCGATTACTTTTTAAACTGATTTTATAGTTGCATCTACCTAGATGTCAACAAATTTGAACATTAGCACAACCCGAACGCAAAAATTGTGAATCTTGCTGAATGTGCTATCAAAGAAAATGTAGACATATTTCGTTTTAGTTCTGAAATAAAATTAACAAAAAATAATTGGCATTTTTCGTGGCCGAGTGGTTAGCGTGTCCATCTACCCGGGTTCGAATTTTGCAGTTTCTAAAGGTTCATCCGAGTAGCCGACCCCCGGTCAACCAGCCGTCCATCCTTTAGAGGCTGGTAAATGGGTAGTCGACGTAAGTTGTCGCATGTTGGCTGGTGAGATGGCTCAGTGGTTCAAATGCTCGCTGAGTCAAACATCTCAATGGCTATCATATACTCAGCGTAAATGATGCGGTGCTTGCGCGTGCACATAAAATACATGTGTACGTCGTGTGAAAAGGATAAACAGCCTTTGTGGCGAAGATGAGGATTTGAAGAACATAATAAAAGATATATAGATAATATATTGTCGTAAATTTTATGAAATAACAACTGGTTGTGTGAGTTAATCTCCTCCTCTATTTTCCTCAGGGAATTTTTTTATGGTCCGACAATAATTTTGTGTATATTTTTATCGTGAGTTCGACCGGTCCTGTGTGGCACTGGGCTTTTTCGAATTATATGATTTTACTGAGTAACACACGAACGCGTAAAAATATTCGATAACAATTTTATTAATCGACAGAAGTAAATGAAAAGGAATTGAACTAAATGAACTCTATAATAATGTAAAATGTCAATGAACAAACTGGAATACAGGAATTAGAACTTCTTCTTGTTGGGTCTTCGACTTGGGATATGTTTCTTGCCGTTTAATCGTACAACCTCGACGTGTGTAACCGATAGTGATGTCGTTACAACTCCAAGAAATAAATAAAATGAATGCGGAAAAATTACAAAAATCGGAGCCTATAGAAATTCCAAGCTGCGTGTGAAACTATACCAATGAGTATAGAATCCAGCAAAGAACCCTATGTCCACAAATAGCACAAGAAACAAAAGAACGAGGCGGATTCGTTTTCACAGAATCCAAGGCCTGTTTTCACTGGGCCTGTCAGTCAGTCGGTCGGCTTTCGCACAACCCTGGCCTGTTTTCACTGGGCCGTCGAGTCTGATCGGCTTTCGCACGACCAAGGGCCTGTTTTCACTGGGCCTGTCTGTCGGTCGGTCGGCTTTCGCACGACCAAGGGCCTGTTTTCACTGGGCCTGTCTGTCAGTCGGTCGGCTTTTGCACAACCCTGGCCTGTTTTCACTGGGCCGTCGAGTCTGGTCGGCTTTCGCACAACCAACACAAAACAACAAGAGTCAGAACAACACTGGAAAAAAATTGTGTGACTTTAGTACGCGTGCGAAACTATGCCAATGAGCATAGAGTCTCGTACCAAATCCACTTTTGAGAACTTAAGACGTTTCTGAAACTATGCCAATGAGCATAGAATCACGAATTAAGTCTCTTAGATACCAAAATAGGCACCGATTATTTGAAGCTGCCTAACTGGTGAACCCAAGGCGGACTCTTTTTGAGAACCTAAGACGTTTCTGAAACTATGCCACTGAGCATAGAATCACGAATTAAGTCTCTTAGGGACCAGAATAGGCACCGATTATTCGAAGCTGCCTAACCAGTCAACCCTAGTCTCTCTCCTACACTCTTCCTTATCAAAGCAAAATTAGATTTTGTTTCGGGTGTTTTTAAACATAAAAATTTCCAAGGTATGTCCAATTAATCAAAAATCTACTAATTAAATTTTAAAATAATTTGTAATAATTTATGACGTCATCTAAATTGCAAAACAAAAAAAATCGTCGTCACCTATCGAGTAAATTAACTTGCACCATATAAAATAAATTTTGCGTTGAAAACTTTGAAGTATTTTTAGTCAGTATTATTTCATAATTCTGACAATATATTTGTAACATTGTAAGTGGTTCTGCGTATGTCAGAGCTGCAATAATAAAGACTAATGATTTTTACATTGCAGCCAAACAACAGACACTGTTTAAAATATGCAAAAAGTTATCCAACTAATTTTAATATTTTTAAAACATAGATATGCAATATATAAAAAATAATTACACTGAAACAGATTACATCAACCAAGTTCAAAGGTTTTTTAAAAGCGGCCTTTACTTTAGTGCAAGCCAGTAGCCTATAGCTATTTAAATTGTAACGTTACTGTTGGTAACTATTATTTTGCAGTTAGTTGGGAGTCGGAAAACTTTCCAAAACAGGAATTAGATCATTTTTATTTTTTGTCCGACTCTGACACCGTGAATTAAAATTGTTATGGTGCGATTATTTTTTGTTGAACTGATTGTTATGATCCTCGTTAAATGCTTCAATAGGGTTGCAAATTTTTACAATCTGTTCAAACTGGCTATTTCAAACTTGATTATTGTCAGTTGAATAAAATTTATATCGAAATAATAATAAACAACACGCATACTGATTATCATTATAATATCTGTTGTGCTAAGCAAGCCTCAAACAAACTTCACTCTAATTACAGTTATTTAATCAGTTTAGCATAAAATTTATTGAATAGTGAATTTTGTTATTATTTTTCGAGTCAAACATAAACAATATAAGAATTTCTGAACGTGAACTTGAAAATTAAAATTTGTTAAATATTTTTCAGTATAAGAAAAATATTCAATGAAAAAAATAAAATTAATGTATTACATTTATCCCAGCAGATACGAACGAGCAACCTGGAAAATGACACGTCTTCTTTATTACCCTAGCGACCAAATGTTTTTAAAATTGTTGCACGTTGTTAACTCAAATAGAATGCTGGTGTGAATTTGATTGATGTTCAATGTACTTGAACATTGAAGACAATTACAACATTAACAAATTCTTCTTAAAAGCTGTAGAACAAAAGTCGAAATCTTTCAAAAGTTGACTGCAGTTTACTTAACAAAACCATTTTAGTGTTATCATGGTACAAAGTTTAAAACTCTAACAAAGTTGCTTCGACAATTGCAAATTACTAATGGATCTAAGAAGACAAAGCACGCATACGTAGTACAATGATGGATACAATGCAACCAAGCACACTTGCCCCAACAATCACAAAACATCTTCTCAACTTTCCATTCAACTTCACTGATGGAAACGATGAAAAGTTGAGAACATTCCTCTTGCATCATGAATTCACTGACTCTTGTCATCAACCGACTAACAACAATTTTGATCATCTCGTACGTCTACAACTTTTTTATAACTTCTTCACTTATTATAATGAAAATGATATTATCTTTAGAAGACAAAATGTCATGTACAATAATTTTACAAACGTTGACAATATATACAACGAAATTGCAGATGGATTAAATATTTATAGCGAAACTAACCCAAAATACACTAATGTATTTCATTTTCAACACAAACACTTGAACGATGACTCATTCAACTACACTCTGCTGAACTCAGAGGAACAAACACATGCAGACCCAAGGCAGGCGCACAACAGCAATGACATCTCACATGCCAGTTACGACGAACCAACTGCATCGTACATCAACACTTTCATCCTCACCTACATCCCTTTAATCATCTACATCGTCGGAGTCCTGGGGAACTCTTTGTCCCTATCGGTCCTGGTTCGTAAGAGGATGAGGAGAGTTTCCACGTACACGTATTTGTCCGTGTTGTCCGTGGTGGATACGTTGGTGCTGACGATGGGACTGTTGCAGTTGTGGATCGGTGAGAGATCGAATTTAGGCTGGCTGAGGGACCAGTCGAATGTGGCCTGTAAGACTTTGAATGTCTTCTCTTACTCGATGAGTGACCTGTCAGTCTGGCTGATCATTGCCGTCACTGTGGAACGATTCATCGCTGTTTGTCATCCACTGAGGGCTGCTTCCATGTGTCGCAGGAGAACTGCTCTCAAGGTTCCTTTGCTGTTCCTTTTTTTCTAATTTCCAAAATCGTTTCGAAATAATTTTTTGAAAGATTGGTTTAAAAAGGCTATAAAGCGTCAAAATGGTTATCAAAACATTACACATTATATAAAAAACTTTCAATAAAGATCGGATTAACAACTTAACATTTGACGCAATTAATTCAAATTATGAAATACGTGTAATGTATATGTCTGACTGCGCAAGTTACATATTCAACCAGTTGTTCAAATAGTTCTTTAATTAATGATAGATACGTGTAATGTATATGTCTGACTGTGTTGGCAAGTGCGGAAATATGTTGGCCAAACAATTAGTTTGAATAATTTCATTGTCATTGACAACCTTGTAAGAGCAAACTCACGAACATTGATCTGCACGTATTTAAAAAAACGTGAACATCAGAACAAATTATTTCTTGCGTTAAATGCAATGATGCAAAGTTACAATCAGTGATTAACGAGTCATTCAAAATGATTCAGCGTGTTGACAAATTCGGATGATTTTATGAGTTTGATGACGCATGTCAATGAGCAAAATTGAAGAAAATGAAAAGTAATGAACAGTTCGAATCATTCATAAAATTTAAAATAAGATTTTTAAAATGTACATTAAATTTATTAGTTATTAAAAAAAACTTAATTAATTTTTGAATAAAATATTTATCTTTCCCACATTTCGTAACAACAAATGGAAAAAAATAAAAACATTAAAAAAATTTAAATGTCGATGTCCACTCAAGCCAAAATTTTATGAAATTTTAATTAGAGATGTCGTTAATCACTCAGGTGATGCTGGCGCTGACTTCGCTGATGCTGCTTTTGAATTCTCACTTCATCTTGACGACCAAAGTAAGTCGTTTTAAAAAGCTATCAAAATAATGATGATGGTGATGATGAAAACTGCAGTTCGTGACGACCACATTAAAGCTCTTTTTTTATTAATAAAGAACGTATAAAGTGAGGCAAAAAATTAATTTAATGAATGTGATTGATTTTGAACCACAGGTTGTTTTCAATAAACTGAAATTGTTGAATGTATGTAAATCGTCTGAACCTGATAACATTAGTGCAAAGATATTGTTTGAATGTAAAGAATCTATTTATGATTACTTAAGTTCATTATTTAATAGGTCTTTTGAATAGGGAGCCATACCTAATGTATGGAAAAAAAGTATTGTTATAGCCATTTCTAAAAAAGGAGATAAAAAGGAAGCTAAAAATTATAGACCTGTTGCACTGACATGCCTAACATGTAAATTGATGGAGTCTATAATAAAGGTGCTTTGATGTCACATTTGATTGAAAGTGGTTTGCTGAATACAAAACAGTTTGGGTTTGTCAAGGGAAAATCAGCTGTTCTGTAGTTGTTAAAATTGATGGATGAACGGTCTAGGGCTGTGGATAAAGGTTATGGGATTAATGCAGTATATACTGATTTTGAAATGGCATTTGATAGAGTGTCACATAGTAATTTAATGGTTAAGTTGAACAAATGTGGGTTGAATGACAAATTGGTTGCTTGGGTTTATAATTATTTGAATGGTGAATGATGGTGGTGAATAGTGAATGATGGTATGTCAAGATATTGTGAGGTAAAGAATGGAGTTCCACAGGGTAGTGTGCTAGGGCCAATTTTGTTTTTAATGTGTGTTAATGATTTATTTGATTTGTTTCAGGATGTAAATGGTGTTGCGATGTACATGTATGCAGATGATGCAAAGTTGTTTAAAATTATGAACTCAGATAGGGATAGTGTGGTATTGCAGAGGGATTGAATGATTTGAATGAGTGGTGTGTGCAGAATGATGTGAAATTGAATAAAGAAAAATGTGTTGTGATGACGTTTGGTTGTTCTGTATCAGATAATGATTATGATTATAACATAAGCTCGCACCTATTACTTTTTTTCCTTGATAAAATTAAAGACTTGGGTGTTAATTTTGATACATCTTTGAAATTTATCAAGCATATACATTGCAATGTTAAGAAGGCGACAAAGATGATCAAGGACTGTGAGGGAATGAAATATGAGGACCGATTAAAATTTTTACAACTGCCAACACTAAAATACAGACAAATAAGAGGTGATTTGATAACGATGTTTAACATGTTGAATGAAAAGGACCAACGAAGCTTGCCGGAAATATTGAGAGCCACCAGACGAACAAGAGGACATGAGATGAGGCTAACAGCACTGACATTCCATACGAACTTAAGAAAAAATTATTTTGTTAATAGAACTATTAATATTTGGAATAATTTGAATGATGATGTTGTTAATTGCAGTGATTTGAATGAGTTTTAAAAAAAGTTGGATGATTTTCTTATGAATGCTAAATTTAAATACGATTGGAGAGCGGAGTTAAAGGATGACTATTCGTGAATGCTGTTTATAGATTATGGATGATGGTATAAATGTTTGTTTTGACATGATTGTCTTTAAGAGAGGAAGATATATATGAATGGTTGAAATTGGAATTTTTATGAAGAAATGTTTGCGTATATATATGTAAAGTTGAATTAATAATCGAAGTTATTCTCTTATAATTTTGTTTATTTATTTATTTATTTTTTGTTTGATCTTTATGTATGAACAGAACGTATTAACATATATTCATGTACATTATTGTTTATGTGTTAAAATTTTATAGTTAATTTTGTGTCGCGGGCATAGGGACATTCTGTCTTCGCCCATGTTTTTTCTCATAATAATAATAATAATAATAAATATATTTCGGACGTTTTTGGTTGAAGCACTGCTTAATTCAATTATTCTTTGGAATAATATTACAAAATTATTTTTCTATGAATGTATTTATTTTCGGGTTTTCTATATAAAGATACAAATTTAATTTTATGGTATTTCATTAACTCATTGTATTTTTGAATTTCTGAAAACATGAGGTGTCCGTGGAGGAGTTTTCAACGTACGAAATAACCGAGGAAGGCACGAACCTCTGCTCTTCCGTGAAGAAAAGTCGCTGCATGGCTGCGGGAGGGCACGAGGACTTCATACAAAAGTACTGGCCGTGGGTGGACGCGATTTTTTATTCCTTCCTTCCATTCGTGATGATCATCAGCCTCAACTGCATGATCATCAGACGTGTGATGGTTGCCAGGAGGAGGAGGTGGAAGATGATCAGCCAGTCAAGTGTCTCCGTCAATCGCTCTGATGCCACGTCTGCTCATCTCCACCAACATCAGCTCAATGAAAAACTTGAACAATTTCATAAAAGTTAGATTAAAATCAATTACTGATAAATAAATTTTAAGAAATAAACATTGATAATTTTTATGTGAATCATTTATTTTAAAATTCCATAGTTTAGTGGTTTGGAGAACAAATATCAACAGAGATTGAATAAATTTCATCAAATATGATCGGTTTGTGAATGAGTCACTCGACTTATTAAACCGTCGCTTAATTTTGTGCACCAAAAATATAAATAATGTAATTCAAACAAAAAAATCGTGCAAACATTTTTGTAGAAATTTGTAGTTTAAACTTTTTTAATGAATGCCATTCATGACTAACTTGAAGTTTGAAATTAAGCACTACGCAAAATTGAGTCCTTTATATGAATTGAAAAATCGTACTTTACTTAAAACATTGGCCCGAAAACGGTTGCATTATTTTATTCATAATTCAAAAAAATTCCAACATTACAATTTAAACTAAATTGTTGAACACGTAATAAAACAAGTTTATCTTTGCACGGCGCTGGCCTTAGCTTTTTTGACACGTCGGGCAAAACTTGTAGACATGCCCCAATGTTTTTTTTAAGAAATGTACATAAATGAGCAATGCCATACAACTAGATGGATTTTATAAAAGAGGTTTTTGTTAAACAAATAACAAATTCTTCTAATTAAATCAAAAATAATTAATCACAGTTATTAAAATGTAACTCTTCTAGATATTTTGTCAGCAAAATCTTTTATCAAGCTTGAAAAATCTAAATTTTCAGCTATTCATTTTATGCTCGATCGATAATTTGGCAAAAGAGTTAAGCCGATTGGTTTTTCAAATGTTTTAATAAGCTTCAGTTTAGAAAAGCTTCGTTCCCCACTTGCAGGTATTGTAAGAAGAATGGGCAGAGCAATCCATGTATTTGGATATAATTCTTGAAAAAAATGTTTTTTAATAAACTCCAATACAGTAAAAGGTGTTATTTTTTTCACTTTTACAACTTCCACTTCACCTATTTTATCTTTAATAAAAAGCTGAACACTTATTAGTTTGTCAGATAGCAAAAGCGCTATCAATATCAGACTGAACAAACAGTTAATTTTTATCGCAATTCTTTGCACAATTTCCAAAGTTCATACCCTGTGGGCAAATTATCCAAATTGAATAAAAAAAACCCACATATTTACGTATTCATTCAATTGTTCAAATAGTTCTTTAACTGATGATAGACACGTCTCTAATAAGGGATTAAAAAATTCCACTTCAAGTTTTTTCTCGGGATCTTGGATTGGTTCGGCAGCATTTTCATCGAAATTGCGTTTCCCTCAAAGCACCCTCTCCTTTGATTTTATTATAGACTCAAAGTTTCAGACTTCAGCCAATTTTTAAGCATCAACCATTGCTTGTTTGAAGCCAAACATTCTAGAATTTTCTTTATACTTAACACATTTTTAAGCATTTCAGTGCACTGTACCAGATCCATGTCCATCATTTTACTAACAACGTTTATTTGAAATAATACATTGTATTATCAAATTAAAGAAATTAAAAACTATAACCTTTTAATTGTTTGGCTAATGTAAGTGCTTCATGTGCAACTTCAAAAGTTTTTTTGGTTCTTTATTATGCAGCTCTGACATACAAAGAATCGATTACCTATCATTCCTGTAGGTTTGATATCAGTTTCATATATAGTATCTAAAGGTACGGGAGGAGTTGGTGTGATGGTAAGAGAAGAGTTGGGGGAGAAAGTGTTTGAAGTGAGGCGGAAAAGCAATGGTGTAATTGTGGTGGTGATGGTGTTTGGAAAAATAATAGTGAGGGTAATATATCAGGATATGCTCCGCAACAAAGTAGGAAGGAAGAGGAGAAGGATAGGTTTTATGATGATTTTTCTGACGAAATTTGGCAGGCGGGGTTGGATGAGTTTGTGGTGTTGTTGGGTGATTTGAATGGTCATGTGGGGGCGGATGCAGACGGATATGAAAGTGTACATAGGGGATGGGGCTTTGGTATACGAAATGAGGAAGGGCGTAGAGTGTTGGAGTTGGCGGATGCAATAGCATGGTGGTGGGGAATACCTGGTTTACAAGGAAACCAGCACAATTAATTGCATATAGGTTAGGGGAGCATAGGTCAATGATAGATTATATATTGGTAAGGGCGAAGCATAGGAAGTATGTAAGGAATGTGAAGGCGATACCTGGTATGTTGCAGTATAGTATGGTTGTGATGAATGTAGCATCAAAACAAATGGGGAGGAGGAAGAAGGATAAGTTTGTGGCAGAGAAAGACATGGAAGTTACAGGATGCAGAGGTGAGGAAGGCATTTGAAGTGAAGGTGGCTGAAAGTTAGGAGAGTGGTAAGGATGGAGATGTTTGGGAGAGATATAGGGACTGTGTGTTGGCTACGGCAGATAAAGTATGTGGATGGACGAAAAGAAAGTGTAGGCATGGTGAGACGTGTAGGTGGGATGAAGATATAAGAAAGGTTTTGGAAGTCAAGAAGGAGAGGTTTAGGGTGTGAAGAAGGGACATAACGGGAGAGGCGGAGTCTGAGTACAGGAAGGCTAAGAAGGTTGCAAAACGGGCAGTGGCGACTGCAATGACGAAAGCATCAGATAGGTTAATGAGGGAAATGAAATTTGATGTGAGTTCGAGGAAAATGTTCAAAGTAGCAAAACAGTCAATGAGGGATAGAAAAGATGTTATAGGGAATGGATATGTTTAGAATAGATCTGGCAAGTTGTGCATAGATGAGGAGGAAAAAGCTCAGGTGTGGAAAGCCCATATGAAAAGGTTGATGAATGAAGAAAATGAGTGGAATGGAGATGTGGAATCCGCGGTCACACAAGGACCCATAGAGAAGGTGACGATGGAGGAAGTAGAGAAATTAGAGTTAGAGAAATGAAACTAGGTAAGGCGACAGGGGTTTCGGAAGTGGCGGCGGAACATATAAAGGTGAGTGGGGTGATAGGAATTGAAGTTATGATGAGAATTGCTAACAGTATGTTGGATGATGAAGGTATACCTGAGGATTGGCGACATAGTGTGTTGGTGCCGTTGTATAAGGGCAAAGGAGATGTGAGAGATTGTGGGTCATATAGGGGTGTGAAATTGCTAGAGCATGGAATGAAGGTAGTGGAGAGAGTGCTTGAGAGAAGGTTGAGAAATATGGTGACAGTTAATGAAATGCAGTGTGGGTTTATGCCTGGTATGGGAACGGTGGATGCGTTGTTCATAGTGAGAATGTTGCAGGAGAATTATAGAAAGAAAAAACGAAGATTGTACATGTGTTTTGTGGATCTAGAAAAAGGCTTTTGATTGAGTACCGAGGAAGGTCATTGAATGGGCGTTGAGGAAGAAAGGAGTGAATGAGAGACTTGTTAAAGCTGTGATGCAGCTGTATGAAGGGGCGAAGACAAAAGTGAGGGTCGGAAGGGATATGTCGGACGCTTTTAATGTTAAAGTAGGAGTGCATCAAGGATCAGTGCTATCACCGTTTTTGTTTGCAATTGTGATGGATGTTGTGTGTGGAAACATAATGGAGGGGTTGTTATTTGAGATTTTGTATGCAGATGATTTAGTCTTGATGGCTGATAACATAGAAGAATTGCAGTTAAAATTTAACAGATGGAAAAGTGTTATCAAAAAAAAGGGTTAAAAGTTAATATTGGTAAAACGAAGGTAATGGTGAGTGTGGAAGGTGGGGAGCGAGCCTGTGGGGTATGTGACAGGAGTGTGAAGGCTAACTCGATATTGTGTATAGGATGTCAGAAATGGGTGCATAAAAGATGTAGTGGTGTGAGGGGGTGCACTGAAAAAGGTGGAAGGCACGTTCAAATGTAAGAAATGTGTTCATGGTGTGATTAATCGGACGGACGCAAGGACGGGGTTGAGTGGTGGTATCAAAAGAGTGGAAAGCTTTGTTTATTTAGGGGTTAAGCTGAACGCGGATGGAGAATGTTTAAGCGCTGTTACGGCAAGAGTTCGTGTGGGATGGTTGAAAT